CGGGCTAGCCTGAACCTCGGTGCTGGCTCCGCTTGTGCTTTGAAGTTATAAAACCTCAGGTATCCCCACTACAGGAACCCCAGCAATATGAAACGGCCTACATTGTTGTCAGTTTCTTTGCTGTCGTCCACAGATGGCACCTCAAATTAAATGTTGCCAACAATTAATACCTTATTTATCCTAAAGTAATTACTTGAAGGCAAACTGACATTACCTACATGTAATTGTCTTCGCCGAGAGGTTTTTACTCTACCCTGTTCCGATGTTATGAGAAAACACATTGTGGGTACATTCCATGCAATTTTATACAACAAACAACAGATTAAGATATAACGCCTGTAATATTTATTTATACATGGGTTTGGTGTGCGACATCATAGCTTTTAGTTTCCGTAACTCTAGCCGCTACTTAGAGAATGACACACACTTAGACAGATTAACTAATCTATAAATTTATTTGGCAACCTGAGAATTAGGGTTTTGCAAAATAAAGTTACTAACTCCTGTCTCGTAAAAATTGATATTATAGCTGTTCTTAAAATAATTTTGATCTACCTCATTCCGAACACAACAAAGAGGAATTCTTTAATATGACAGGATAAATATCCATCGCTGCATATTATTTGTTTCAAAGTGTTTCAATCGTTATTCCATCTTAGATTTTATTTAAAATGTATTCGATTTGTGTGAATAAAAATATAAAACTTCCATTTTTTAGTTTTTTTTGTTATGGCGGCAACAGAAATACATCATCTGTCAAAATATCCACTGTCTAACTATCACCGTTCATGAGATATAGCCTGGTGACAGACGGACAGACAGACAGACAGACAGCGGAGTCTTAGTAATAGGGTCCCGTTTTACCTTTTGGGTACGGAACCCTAAAAAGGCGTATCTTTGGATGCATCCACATTCACATGATATGGTAAATTAACTAAACCGCACATCAAGTAACACTGCATGAACACAAAATAAATTATTACGGCATCAATAGCTCTTAAAATATCCGCACTAATTAGCCCATCTCGGCTACACGAAACGAAACTGCCGCGGGGGCGAGTGCACCCCTGCACCATACGCCGGGGGAAGATTTAATACGGAGCACGTTTCTATAAAACTACCGGTGCAAAAGTCGCAGGGAACATTTTTGCATGTACCACAATAATCTAGGGGGCAAAATATAAAATTAAGGGGCGCATTCAAAAGCTGCGGCGCAAATCAGAATAAGAGAAGAGAGTAACCTCTACATATCTTGTAATTGAGTTAGAAATTGATCAATTTCTGCTCAATATAAAATTTTACTTTAACCGCAGCCACGTGATTTTTTGGTTTTAATTTGTTAAATAGTCCAATTCTTCCGGTCAAGAATACGTAAGTAATGTCCATCTTATGTAGCAAATACTTTTAGGCCATCTAAATTCATAATTGACTTTGTGTTGAAAAATCCCAAATTCAACAACATATACGAGTAGATATCACAGCGAATTAAGTCACTATCATGTAGTCGTTTCATCTGAGCAGGGTGGATAGGTGTCTATTTAGGTATACCTTATAGGCAATATTGCACCCGTGCCGTTTCACAACTCTCTTTGAATTTGGCAGAAGGGCAGGGGCGGAAGGGTGAGGCGGGGGTGAACTGTACACCCCCTTCCACCAGCCCTCTCCCCTGAACAAACCATTCACTTCGTTGCACGCCCTTAAATTTACAAACTGTTACCCAGCTACTACATCTTCAGTCTCGATCCTCAAAAAAAAACCATTTACATATTCATTATTTTTTGTCTTTTACGAAACTATATATTAAAGAGAACATAATATAAGAGACATAACATAATTTAAGAGACATATACATTAAAATACGGACACCGGCTTTAAAATAAATTATTTAGTTTAAATCCAAGTGACCAGTGAAAGGTTTCCGAGAGATCGGCGAAAGAGGAAAGTATAAAAAAAAGTTGGCCAAGTGCGAGTCAGACTCGCGCACGTGGGGTTCCGTACCTTTATCAATAAAAACGGCAAAATTGATGCCTATTGTATGCGAGCCCCTTAAATGTTTTCTATTTTATTGTTTTTAATAGATATTGGTTCTTATAGCGGCATATAAATGCATCAACCATGCATTTATATGCCGTTCATGAGATACAGCTTGGTGACAGACAGACAGCGTAGTCTTAGTAATAAGGTCCCGTTTTACATTTTGGTTACGGAATAAATGACTAATTTAACTAAAAATATTTAAGTTCCATCTTAAGTTTAGGGACTAGCACTAACAAGTTTTTTTTAACGAAAAACAAACCCGAATTCAAATATCTCGCTCTATTCATTTTATAATTGATTTTCAGGAGTTCCTTAAAGTATCTTTGGAGATAAAGATCCAATACAAATGAAATTAACATGGGACCACTTGGGGGCTAAACAATAAAAAAAGAAATTTTAAAATTGGTTCATAAATGACGCAGTTCGGGGGTAACAAACATTGAAAAAACTTCAAACGATCTGAGAACCTCCTCCCTTTTTCAAGTCTGTTGAAAAAATAAAGTGAAATAGGCGAAGGCGACATTACATAAAAAATATTTATTACGAACGAACGAAAAACTGTCATTTTAGAAAGTGTGCTTGCAGTAAAAAAAGCACATTAGATAACGCCAAGCATTGCTAAAATGCAATAAAAACAAAGTAGATAAGCCGTCGCAACAATTTCGCGACCATTATAAAGGCGCGTAAGACGGAGTACGCACTCTTAGGTTCAAATCGTCGCAGCGGCCATTGAGTTATTGTTTATTACCAGACCACATAATAATTAAATATTTAATCTTTTTCGTGTTTTTGTAGATTGTATTGTTTTAGGGGTTTAGAGATGGCGAGCTGCATATAACCCTCTCCGGAGCCCGTTCTACGTTCGCAGCACTTACACAAACATTGTAGAGTTGTATAGCGGGGGATCCCTCCGCTCCCGTTTGCACAGCGGAGCACTCGGGGTTGAACACAGTAGCGGATGCCGGAGCGTGGTTTTGACAAGGTAAACAAACAATGTGTTAATAACACTCTTCGATATACATCACTTAGCCTGTATTCGCTTTATTCAATTTGCTTAGGATAGGGTAGAAGGCTATAGCTTAACTATTTCATACCGTAGGTAATGCTGTCTCACCGTAGGCGCTCAAAACTTTCACGTTTTATGTAATAACACAACAAGCGCCATATGCGTTTCACATCGCTGCTTCTAATTGATTTTTTTTTATATTAATACAAAGAATAACAAGTAACCTACCTTCGTCAAATAAACGCTATCAAAACTTTTTGGGCCAAAAAAGAAATGTCTCGTACTTTACGGACAACTCAAGTATAGGTATGTGACTATTATAATATTTGTAAAAGTTAATAATTAATAGCTAAATGGATACTAAAATAATTGGAAAATATATCTATATGTATTGTTTCTATAAACAATATCATAATAGAAAAACTCTTCAACCAGGATTATATTTAGCCCAAAAGAACGCGAAAAAAATAACGGGGTCCAAAAACAGATTAAAAATAAATAAGTTTATAAAACTAAACTAACTAAAATCACGCTTTAAATGTAAACCGAATTATATTTCAATATTTATTAATAACGTGATAAACGAGAAAATTAATTTCATTGTTAAAGAAGCGTCTGGTGCTCAATATCATATGTAATAATACCTTACTATTTGTTACGACCGGTTTCTGAAACACTGATAATCGTAGAAGTAAACTAATCAGCTGTCAAATGGCTTTTCAAATGTTATATAAGTTGCCAAAAGGATGGTTAAATTCCGAATTGATTTAATCATTAAGATCATTTAACTGGGCGTTAGTGTGCGAATTTAGGATACAAAGCACCCACGCTTTTTTACAATGACATTGATTATTATTTTTAATATTCTAATTAGTTATGTACTTTATTACTATTAGCCCTGAAATTATCAACCTGATACCTGAATTGATTTTGCCCAACCTTTATTATTTGCGCCTCATACTTAATTGATAAGTAATTAATATATAAATTTCTGGTTAATTTTCAGTATAAAAGTATTATACTTAGATCCACATTTTGACAAAAGTCCTCAATAATCTTGTTTTATATCTAATTTTAAAGTATACATTTTATGCTCCCCTCACCCCTGACATTTCTCTTTGCTTTACCAATCATGTTCAAATCTAAGTTCTAATTAGAGTTTAGACATTATTAATTAAGTCTTTTAATGAACAGGCCGGTGTTAAGAGTTACCAACATGCATATATCATAAATTATGACTTTATTAACAAGACCTAATTGTCTCATGAGCTTTTAACAGCTTTGTGAAAATCTAGGAGACAATTTTTATCGCCAGTGCCGACTTGTTAGATAACTTGTAGAAATATTCCTCATATTATTAGCATTACCAAGTGTAATTAGTCTGCCAAAACAGTTTTTAATAATGGGCACATATCATAGATAGAGGGAATATAGTACATTTCAAAGATAGCATTAAGTATACTTTTCAAAGAGAGATTTCAAGTCTTAAATGACTTGTAAACTAAAAACAGATCTGCTATTAAATTAGAGTACCAACTGTAATGTAACTAGTTATTAGTTGTATCAATGAAAACCTGTAATTGGCTGTCTTGTGATTATACTGTTTTCTTATTTAGGTTTAAATAAACATTGATTAAAGATGACATACATAGTTGATAAGTTATGTGTTTAAAAAAATTATAACAAACCACAACCATACAGAAGCTTTTGCTATCATATGAATGGATGGCTTAATCTAGGAAACAAAGCCAAAGGTTTCTACTTTGTTGTTCAACTTATTCAGTAGGTAACTGGAGTTCCACAGGTCTAAAAGAAAACGCACCTAGAACTCATAACTATTGTAGCTGTACACAATTAACTATCATCACCATCAAGTGAACAAGTTAATACCTCTACTTTTCTTCCTATGTAAAAAAGGTGTATCTTGTTATATCTTGCCATGTTGATGCTGAACTTAGGCCTGCCTGACTACCTGGAAGCACAATCCTGAGCCACTTTACATCAACTTTCATTGAAACAGGTTTACACAGGTTTTCACTTCATGTCAATGTAAGAAAACCTTTTTCTTTTCCTTGCACTCAACAAGGTAGTATTATCTAAATAGGTGTTATGTCCTACGAGCAATGTGTAAGACAGGAAAAAGACATCTCATCATTCTATAATTTTGAAGTTATTTTTTTTTTTGTATTTGAAAACTTTAGGCTTTTGTTGGTTACAGCAAATTAGATTACTTACTAAATAAACTAGAATTAAATTATAATTCAGATCACTAGTCTATACAATTCACTACTCTTACAAATGAGCTCATGTTATAAGTTATCAATAAACTAATTGTAGAAGTAATTTTTTTATGCTTGCTTACCTCAGAAGAGGCTACATTGGTCTGCCAAGGAAGAAGTAGCCCATTTGTGCTACAGTAGAAGCATCTGCTAAGCTCTACCATAAAACATACATATAAATGTTTATTTATTTTTTATGTAAGAAAGTGGCAAACGAGCTGGAGGTTGACCTGATGTTAAGTGATAACCGCCCCATGGACATGTGCAACACCCGCATGGTTGCAAATGTGTTGCCACCTTTAAATAAAGTGGGCCCCGGCTACCTCACTCACCAGACGAAAAGCAGAAGTGTAACACTTCTACTTTATGCAGGTCATCTGTGAGGTTGTGATACTTACTCAGACGGTCCTGTCCATTTGTGCAACAGTGTTGCGTGGCCCTACCACCGTTTAAAGGTTTATAGGGTAATATCCAAAATTTTGTAATTGAATTAGCATTACTTTAACAATGTGTACATACAATATTTTCATTTTTATTTGTCTGTTCACATGATTGTATAACGCACATACAAGGTACCATCTTCAAGGAATGTGACGAGTTTTTCAAGTGATATTTGTATATTGATTCCTGTGAGAAGAAAGAGTAGTACCTGGTTTAAAACTATAACAACAGTAAATTCAACTATAAAGTGAATTCATAATAATAATAACATAAAATATATTTCCATTACCGTACGTCCATTTTTTTGTTTCTTCCTGCTTCATTTTTGCTATTCAAAAGCAATTGCGTCAAAATCGAGAGAAAAGTAAGTGAAGTAAATGCTTTTCAAATCATAAATCTAAATAGAATATATTGATACATGTAGTAAGCTGATAGTATTTACATTTTGCTTTTTACGTTCCTACTTCCTTTGTCCCTTTCAATATGAATGACAGGTTAAATTAGTTTTGACAAAGTTGATTGAATAATATGCCTTTGTTTACCATATCATAAAAATAGGAGATCGTGAATTAATTACATTGAATAAATTACGTATTCAAGAAACCAAAAACCATATAATATGAAAATGTAATGAAAACTGAAATTAATAATCACATTAACATTACACATTCAACAATATAAAGTAATTAGTAAAAGCAAACAGAAGCGTCTGTCTGCTGTACTGTTTGTGATTAACATGAAATTTGCGATAAACAGATGTTACATAAGGAAAGTAATGTGGCGTTCACGAAATTCCTGCAGTATGTAAAACAATAATGATCGCATAATTATATTAATCAAAAAATATTTTTTTTATAATAAATTTAATACTACTTAAGAATCCATCTAATCTAATATCACAGTTAATCATTCGGCAAGATACAATATTCCTCATTAGGTTTTGTTTCTTTTTCATCTTCACTAACATGAACCGAATTTGACAAATTCACAGCGGCGCACTGATTATAAACAGAAACTTGCTGATTCTCTTCCTCGTCTAATAAATCATGTAAGAAATTCAAACATTTTCGTTTAAATAATCTTTGTTTTCTAGATGATAGCTCTTGGTAATCATTATAAAGACCACGAAAAAATTGAAAATAAGAAGAGTTTTCATCAGGTTCAAAAGCTTGAGAACTCGAGCTGTCGTCATGCTGGAAGGAAGGTTCAGGCTTAGGTTCTAAAAATTTTGCGGGCGATGTGTTCAGAGAAAACCATGGATTATGAATAAATGGTTTCACATCAACTTGCTCCGAGCTTGAAGATTCCGCCAGATCCATTTCCAAAAATGTTGGTGCATAAGCCGGGTAAGGGGAAGGCCGTCTAAAAACATATAAATATGAACTTTTGATAGTTATTTTCCTAACATTTTATACAGCTAAAACCGTAGTGGTTTTAGTTGTACCACTTCTCTAAATTAATACCATCATTAGTCTCAATATCTTTTTTTTATATTATACATATAAGCAGATATACAAATAGCCCATGGTCAAATAAATTATAAAAATTATGAATAGAATCTACGGATGAACATAATTATAAATTGAAGTTTTAATTATTGATCTTAACCATTAACCTAAAATGTGTTTAATATAAAGAAATTATCAACAAAAATAATCAAATTGTGCTTACGTATCTGTGGCCATATGATCTCGGAGAAATTCCAGTTCATCGGCAAGGTACCATCGCGAAACCATTCGCCCCTTACCCGTGCGTGCACCATGCATCTCGTTTCTTAAGTGTCTTGAGTACGAATTACGAATATGAGACCATTTTCTGCGAACATCGGCAACTAAAACACAATTAATAAATTAAAAATGAAAAGCATAATTACATTGATTTAATAAAATAATTTCATATGTTCACCGGTATACAACGTAATAAATTGTAAACGTTTGTTTAAACTTTATAAAATAACGAATAACTAATAGGTACCACTCCAACCCATCTCCCTTGCAACTTCCTCCCAGAGACATTTTACTTTTGTGTAATAACTAGCAACAGGCATGTTATTCCTTGCGTATAGCAATCTTCGTTCTTTTACGAGTCGAATAATTTTTCTATCATCCACTTGATTAGAATCGACGAGTCTACCGACATCCACTGTACCCGACATATCTGCCTTCCGCTCCTTCTGCGCCATGCTTACTCTTTGACGTAAACACATCAAGGTTCTGAATTTTTCACAAATATGATCTGATAAATAGTATTACGAGTGCTAATCCGAAGCGGAAAAATTCACTTTAATGAAAGTTTCAATTGTTGTTTGTTCTGAAAAACTTGCTCACTCGAGGTAAATAAATACACACACGTCACATCGCAACGAGAGTGCGAAGCGAACACGGCAGCGCGCATAACGGCAAACAGACACGCGCAGCGAGAAGCAAGCGCGCAAATATCGTCGTCTCGCTCGCACGTGAAGCGCGGCCGCTCGGGCGAGCGGAACAGTCGCAGAAGCACGTGAAAAAGCAAGAGCGCAGACGCTCTGTCCGATGACGGTCGGCTACTTTTATAAATTCCACATCGTAGGATATCGATTGGAGTCGGACGGGTAACGCAGTTCGCGTTTTTCCATCGCAGTTTATTTTCAGTCTTTGTTTTGGCGCAATGAACACCGCTGCCAGGCTAAGAGTGTTTTGTTGATCCGACTGCTATTGCTCACATCAAAATGATACATTTAGACACATTCATTTAGTTTTTAAACATATTATTAGTTATTATTAATAATAATAAATCACTTTTCGTATCGCCAATTTACGCTTATTATTGCATTAAGTAAAACACATATCTGTCTGCTAAATTGGTTCCACATCTCTAGACGATGCTGCAGTCATGTGTAGATCAGCACATTTTAGAAGCGGTATGCAATAGTGTACCTACATTGGTTTTGTATTACGCAGTACGTGAATTCGGTTAAAAATACGTAAAACTAAATAGTTATGTACATTACAAACTAATACATCAAATACGTGAGCTCCTCATGGGTACAAGTAATACGAGCTGTACCATTTCAAACATATTTTGGTTCAGAAAGTAGGTAACTGTTCCTCTTTCTATCCTGTGTGCTATATACATTTATGCATGTATATATCTCTTCCATTCTATTAAAAAATTTAATTAAATCGCCTATATTCTTATAGACGGTGGTAGGGCCTCTCAGCAGCCTCGGCTGTTGCACGAATGGGCAGGCTCGTCCGGGTAAGTACCACGACCTCACAGAAGACCAGCGTAAAGTGGAAGTATGACAAATACTTTACCGTCTGGTGAGTGAGGTCGTGGTACATTACATACGTGGTATTATAACAATTAATTCGGGACCCCCCGCGTTGGGTCTGAAATAATTGTTATAATTTTACTACACAATTAATGTTCTCGCCGCATATTTCATATCCAGAAGATTATATCGGAAACATCCATATGCACTGTAATAAATACAGAAAACTTAACAAGAAAAACATTTGACAAAATCCACTTAAAGAAAACACGCGGCGCGGAACAATGCCCCTGGCCGTTTTATGACTCATGACGCAATTTTATTACCCATATCTCTTATCATAATTCTTTTTTCTTTACTACTTTCACTTAGTGAAAAAATCGCGCTCGTGTCAAATTCATTCGCACTGTACACTGCCGCCAGTAGCTACAGACGTAACGGTTTTTGTTGCGGAAGGAGTATTGGATAGTGCGTGCTACGATCCATTCAAAGTACGGCAGTAGAAAGGCTTTGCGAAAGCCTAGGATTTGGAAGCAATTCTTTTTTACCGCCCTGAATGAACGGTTGGTGTTATGAAGCTATAAAAGTGTACTAGATCTCCTTCCAGATATCTGCGCCCCACTTGGCACGAGAGTAAACATTTTATGTCCTCTCCCGTCACCAATTTATTCATGAGATTATGACGAGCTTTGACGACATAAAAGTATTACCGGTATAAGCGAATTAATGCATACCCATGCAATAAAAGCTGTGGACGTACTGTTAGCGATTACCTCAGAAGTTTCGACTGAGTGAAACGATTTTGATAATTCTTTTTTTTTATTTGAAAGCTGTTGCTTCCCATGTGGACATTAATTTCATTGGTATTGGATCTTGGGCTCCGGAGATACGTTGAGAACTCCTGAAAATCAGTTATAAAGTGAATACAGAGCGAGCTATTTGAAGTCGATTTTGTTTTTGTTAATAAAAAATTGACTTGTTATAATGTGCCTGATGTACTCAATTTTTCAATAATACTTTATATTGTAATATATAAACAAAGTAATACAGAATAATGTGACTAATTAAATTATATCTGGGGTTCTGAGGTGTCTTCCATTGAACATCTCGTTCGAGATATAAAAATTATGTGCACGTTAACTAATTATATACGTATTATGTACGAGTGTATCGCTCAATTGCGTTAGTGAAATATTTTGCTTTTAAACATAACTTTAAAAATTATAATTATATTGACAACTTTTAAGCCATAAGCAAGTTTATTTAAAATGTTTTGTTCTACGGGTAAATGTCTACATTATGTAAAGATTGTATAATAGCAGCTTAGATCAATTATAGTGTAACGGCCTATAAATAATTATTACGATAGTACCATTTTTATTGACGTTTTAATTACTGTCTGTCATCTGCCAGGAATGGTCCATATCTGCTTGCTCAATCGATAATGGCATCCCTTAAAACTCTGTTGTTTCTTTACTTAAGGATTATTTTGTTTTGTTCTAGAGACACCAGCTGAAAGTATATTAAATAATAACCTATAAGCAACTGAACAAAGATAATTTTACAAAAATAATGAGCAACATATTGAGCACTGTGAAACAACATATTGAGGGAGAAGTTTGAAAATTATCTTCTTCAACATTTCCATGTCCTTTGGCTAGTTGAATCAGCGGTGAAAGACTTTTCGTACTTTTTTCTACAAATTTTAATATTTGAATCATATTTTAAAAACAATATGATCTTTGACCACAGAATATCTTACTGGTTCACAGCAAGAAACTCTTTATACTTGGAATTAAATTGATTTTAACTGAAAAACAATTGATGAGGAATGAAGCAGCGATTGACTCCACGGTTTTTGGGAATGCATTTTAATAAACAAAATCAAAAATATTAAAATTTGTTTATTTGTAACCGTGATCCAAACATGGTGCTTGCTGTTATGATACATTATGAAACGTGCTGTGACGAATTTTTCCTATTAATACCCGCTGCTGAGTATCAACAACTTTTAACGTAACAGACGACCGAATAACACTGACAACCAATTTGTGGAATCGAATAATAACGGCGGTATTTCTGATTGGATGCGACTTGGGCAGCTTCAAGAAATTTCTACCTTAAAAGATTCAAACGCTTCTGAACAAGCTTTGTGAACATAATTATGGATGAGTGCGTGTTGTATGCAAATGGGTGCAGAAGTCATCACTGGCCGTTTAATGGCCAGCTCTAGTTCCAGCTAAATAGAAATCACATGAGTATTTTATATGAGCTGGAATTGATTGGCATTTTGGCTGTTCCTTGATCATTGAGTCTTCGACTTTGTTTCACGTACTGCAGACGATTCAGATTACGTGAGATATGACACCGTTTGTTTCCATGCGCATAATTCACGAGCCGGATCTTCCCCTCGAGACTAATTGAATGCCGTAGTTTTATTAAAATTATTAATTAAGTTAGTGCTTCTTACGGCTGTTTTAAAAGGCCTCGCCTTTACAACCAGAATACCAAAGTCGCACAATAAATTCGCACTTCGCGAAAGGGCGGGTGGGCAAAATGGGCGCCATACGTTCTCGCCGATTCGTTCTTCGTAGTGCAGGCATCAGCTTTTTATCGTAAATTGGCATCATTTTTACGACGCGCGCGTCACACACAGATTGGATTGCTCCTGTAATCGTGGCAGCTTCGGATTGCTTCTGTCTGAATAATGTTTCTTTAAAAATCAAACCATTATTTGTGTCATACTTCATTGCGACCGTTGCACTGAACTGTATGTGATGTAGGTATATACTCTCATTTATAATTTTCTTATGTTTAATTAAGTTCTGTTTTCTAATATGTGCGGATATGTACCTACCTACAGATACACGCATGATTGTGGAGGACAACGTTGATGCGAGGACGCTCTTCACGAACTTTTTTCTGACATCCTAAGTGCGCAATCGTTTACGTACCAAACTGAATTCACTGTCCTTTGGTTTTGCACGCGACACTATAAAAAGTTAAAAAGATGCAACAATTTCCTTGACGTCGCACCGACTTTCGTCACCAAGTATTCAAAGCATAGCAATCAGTACTCCCAGGACCCCTCCCCTTGCACAGTAACATATACAGCCAATGACTCCCTCCATTAAACCATTAAATTTTATCAATTCTATGGCACCACACGACACGCAGCCGTTTCTGGTCTTCCGTTAAATGTTATATTATCCACTCAGTCCTGGGCTTCAGATACTTCAAATTGAATTCTTAATGCCTAAAACCGTACGTATTTGCCGACTAGAACTTTTTTCATTTCATTTTCATCGTGTTTTAGGATAAGATTTTTGGACGTTGTTTGTTTATCCACATAATCGAGGGGTAGTTACCCATACGACCTCATGATCTCAAAAAGAATATTAAAAGCCGGTAAGAATATTAAAAGGGGAACTCCCCTTTTAATATTCTTACCGGCGTGACGGAAACGCCTGGTGTTGGGGACGCACCAGCATCTTATGAGAATGGCTAAGGTATTCTTACCCATTCTCATAACACACAGATACGATTCAGGACAATTGTAAGATTTTAGTCATGAATATGGTATTTCTTATGTACTCAAGTTGGGTCACAATTATTCATCATCTCAACTTAATTTGTCAATTGTTTCTTGTAAAATATTATAGCATTTTGTCATTTTTATGAGCAAAATTCCTACCTCCTGTTGATGAAATATTCTTAGGCTCTTGGAATCAAAAGTTAATATTACTTTATTATATAAAACACTGTCGGGAACACTACAGTTACACACAACACAAATGTGCAAAATTAACAGCGCTTCATAGCAAACTTATACCGGCAACGAAATCGTTTGTTCACACAACGGTTTTTTTATTTTAATAACAAAAAGCAGGAAGGCCAAAAAGCGTACCGATTTCTGCGAAGCGCGGGCAACACGCACACTGCCGCGACAAACATGTGTTTCCTTTGACAGAAAACAGCTGTTGCACCTACCGGGAACTATTAACGGCAACATTCTCTACGCGCCGGTGCCACGCCGGCCCCCTAGCGGAAATGGCATCTGCACGCACAAGATAAGACAGTAAATCGTGCGACCAATTGTCTACCTCGAGTTGTGGGAGCCTTCGGATCAGCTGATCGCCGGCATGATTTACGAGTACGCATAGGCGCCGTAAACAGGATGGCCCGGTAGCCTGAGGCCTGTTTACAATAACGATTCATAAAGCCCGTTGAGTTAATATAGTGTAATGCAATAAAAAATGAAACCAATCTCTTTCTAATTGATAACGCGTGAAGCACGGAATCGGATATGTGGCGAGACATCGCTGCATTCTGTAAATAAGTACTTAGTACCTGGAGGAAGTAAAAAAAATAAGTATGTGAATGATCGTGATACGAACTGCGGCCGTCTGTTTCGAGGCCGAAATTTACTGTCATATATATATATATATATATATATATATATATACACAAGAATTGCTCGTTTAAAGGATAAGATTATATTAAAAATTGATAGATCATAAACCTCATTTAAAATTGCGTATAATTAGGTACATAAACGATTATTGCCGCCCATCGACGAACACCCGTCAGTGTTGAGTTGCCAATATTCAAAAAATATGGTTATGGTCCAAAAGTACAAATACTTGTACTTCAATCAGTCTACTGTGAGGCTTCCCCGGACACTGTGCACCAGTTACGTGATTATAGAAAAGGCGGCAAACGGGCTGGCGGTTAACTTGATGTGAAGTGATAATCGCTGCCCATGGACATTTGCAACTGGTTGCATATGCGTTGCCACCTATAAATAATGTGGGCCCCGGCTACTTCACTCACCGGACGAAACGCAGAAGTGTAAAACTTTTTCTTTGATGAATGAATCAATATCGTTTCATCACTTACGTTGAAGACTATTTCGACGAGTCTTGAAATGAGTCTACTGACACAATATTTTTAATTCATCATTAAAGCTCCGTGTCCGGTTGGCTTCGGGCTACGGGGAGACCATTGTTGAGCTAAATATTTCGCGTATGAAAGCGATTAAACCAAAAACGCACAGTGCCATCCAAAAACCATTATTTGAAAATAAGGAGAAATTAAAACATGTAGAAAAAGTACGAAGTTGTATGCTGGAAAGGATATAACAATAGATGCGCCAAGCATTGCTTCAAATGCTAAATAACAATGTAGAAAGAAGGTTCTTAGCTCAAGCTAAAGCCTTTAGCTCAGTGGCTAGAGCGTCAGGCCGCGAATGCCGAAGACGTGGGTTCGATTCCCACAGCGGCGACAATCTTTTCGTACTTTTTCTACATGTTTTAATGTTCAATCTTAAGTGCAGAAATTAGCACTATAAAAATCTTTACAAAATTCATAAGGAGCAATCTGGATTTTTCCACAACCACATGACCAACGATATCAAAGTAAAATTGTACACAGGAAAAGATTCAAAAACTGCCTTTTAGAAAGATTTTTCATAAGCATAATATGAAAATAAAAAACATAAGGAATTCTCAGTGTAATGAAAGAAAGTAGGTATACCCACTAGCCAGCATTTTAGTATTTTTTTAGAGTGAGTAGCCGGGGCCCACTTTATTAACATGTGGCAATGCATCTGCAACCCTATGGCTGTTGCAAATGTCCATGGGCGGCGGTTATCACTTAGCATCGGGTGAATGGCCAGCTCGTTTGCAACTTTGTCAAAAAAGGTTGGAATCCCGTAATCAATAAAGTTAAATCTAAGTTCACCAAATCTAAGTTCGTGGCTAGACCTCAAGATACCATAAGCTCCTTCTTGGTAGATCGGAAAAAAATTGACAACAGCCGCAGGGTTGACTGTGACACTAGGACGCAAAACAATTAAATTGAGGGAACTTAAAATAAAAATAGTATTAAAATTTGCAGAGATTATCATTATAAAAAACTAAATAAAAATAATACACAAAATAGTTTCATTAAGGGAAAGGTAAAATCCGATAAAATATTTTCATTTAACTTTGAATAGCATTCGCGTAAAAGGAAATTAATGTTTCAATCTTAATATCTGTCAGTAATTCGATTTGTCCTAATTATATAACCAGTGCTGGTTAAATGATAAAAGCTTTCATCTTCAAGCGCAAAGATGGAGCGCGCAGTGTTTGATACTTCTTTCCTTTTTTATTTTATAAGTATGTATTTTGTACTAGTCTTGGAATAATGATAAAAACATACACTCGTGTAATATTTTTTATTGTTTCATAGAAATATACCTAAATTTACAGTAAAATATATTCTAAATTAAACAAAAATCAGTCGATGAGTCACAGCATGCCCGGCTAGCGAGTGATGAGTATCTTAAAATGTTTGTGGAGCTGTGGGGAGCGAAGCCGCTTAGAATAAACTTTGTCAACATTTTTCGATAGACATTTTATACCTACCTAACTGAGTACGTGGTCTGACTTATAAAATAATGCAGGCGATGGGTGTATATCGCACTTACAATCCTATTTATTTTCTAAAACATCATTAAATTTTACCCGTTTGTCTGTTAGGGGCCTACACTAACACTTCGCACTCCACACTAGAGCGCGGTGGCTTTGGCGGTGGCGTAGCTCACGCGGGGCGGCGCTCATCGTCGGCCGCCTCGGCGTCTGCGTCGGCGTCGGCGTCGGCGTCGGCCGAGCTGCTGCTGGAGCTGCCGCCGCCGCGCGCCCACAGGCTGGCGTAGCTCTGCTGCTCGGCGATGAGCGCCTCCTCGGCCGCGATCACCGCGTCGAAGAGCGTGCGCTTGATCTTGATCTGCGTGGGGTAGGGGAAGCGCTTGGTGGACTGGCACATGCCGTTGAAGAAGATGTCGAGGGGGTCCGGCGCGGCGGGCGCGGGGTGGGCGGGGTGGGCGGGGTGGGCGGCGTGGGCGGTGTGGGCGGGCGGCGGCCGGCCGCGCTCCTGCAGGTGCGCCTCGGTGAACTGGCGCTTGCCGTGCGCCTTGCACAGGTAGTCGAGCTTGCGCTCGATGAGGGCCAGCCGCTCGGCGCCCTTGCGCTTGGCGCACGACTCGGCCTCCGAGTCGGAGTCGTCCGTGGAGCGGGCGTCGGCGCCGCCGTTGTGCGCGCCGCAGTCCGCCGCCACCGCGAACCCGGAGCCCGGCTCGGCCGGCTTCTTGCGCACGCTCATGTGCGGCTGCAGGAACTGCATCGGCCCCATGTACTTCCACGGGTAGTTCTTCTTCGCCTGGTTGCTAGGGTCCTTCGCGAGCATTTCGCTCTGACGCTTCAACGCGTCCCGGTAGCTGTCGCGCAGTTTCTTCCATTTCAGCTTCACTTCCTTCACTGCAAATAACCAATTCAGTTAGCTCATCTTTCTCGCATTCGATACACCTTCAAACTTTCATCTTTAAACTAAACTTTAAAACTTGTAGAAAAAGTGCGAAAAGATTGTCGCCGCTGTGGGAATCGTACCCACGTCTTCGGCGTTCGCGGCCTGACGCTTTAGCCACTAAGCTAAACGGCTGATTGCCACATCGACGAAAATCTTAAAGTCTTTTATCTACATTGTTTTTTAGCATTTGAAGCAGTGCTCAGAGGCATGTCGCACAGCGGCGACAATCTTTTAGCACTTTTTCTACAAGTTTTAATGTTTAGGCTTAAGTGCAGAGATTAGCACTATAAAAAAACTTTAAATTTCTAAACTAAACTTATTCAACTCGACACGGATGGCCAAACTTGGGAGTACTTATAAAGAATAATGTAAATATCTCATCTCAGGTCTCTGTGTCATTATCTACACGCACTACGATATGTTTAAGGGATAAGTGAATAAGTAATAATAAACGAAAGAAACATATTAGTATTTTATGAAAAGACGCTTGACATTACTTCTAATAAAGTTAACTTCAAATATCAACGACAAAATTTCCTTAGCCTTAGTTAGTTTTTATAGTTTTAGATCCACTTGCAAAATCCTTCGTTCATAAGTATTTTTTTACAGTGTTCCCCTTTTTGTGTTTTATTCAGAAAGTTTATTTAATTAACTTTATTATGTTATATAGTATGACTTTTCGCAGATAGAAAACTATATTTTATTCTTATTGCCCTTGCTGTATAACAATGTTCATTATTCTGTGTATAACATTATTCTGTGTTGTAAAGACGTTCAACAAACGTAAATTTCACGTGGACGAACACTCAGGTACGAAACAATTATTTGTGGGTCACAGAAATAACTGTCCCGTGTGGGAATCCAAACCACGTCTCCCGCTGCCGAAGCCAATACCTCGGCAACTGCGCTACTGAGACTTGTTTAATTTAATTGTACCTATGAGAATGAGGAGAAATACTTGTTCGTATTCTAGTTCATATATATGATATAAATAATGATCTATATGATACAAATGTAGTGCAATTTAAATTTGCTATAACCGCGAAGAACCAAATAAATAACATTAAAGTGAACTATAAATAATAATTTATAACAGTAGTTATAACATTTATCAAAATATTAAAGGCAAGCGGTTGACAATTTGTCGTTATTGAACTGTTGACTACAAATTAAAGTTTGTGTCGAAAGAAAAATAGTACTCTCGTATAAGTCTTACTTTTAATGTAAGTACAAACATCTCGCGCTAGCGACCGACCTTGTCAAGTTGAGCCCAACGACATAATTATGTAGATTTATCTATATATTATACACACAATATAAACGTTACAGATACCAAAGATTCCAATGCAAATTGCAAACAAATGGGCCTAGATGGCGAAAATTTTCACATCAATTATTCCACAGATCATTTCCGTTGGTAGCGGTCAAGGATAAATTTTTTTTAGGTAATAAGGCGTAATACAAAGTAACAAGATTATTCTTGTTACTTTGTATTAGGGTTATTCCTAATACAAAAGCGAACATCGCTGAACTACCCATAGGTTTTGGTGTACGAAATCTAAAACTTGACTCGCACTAGACAAAGTGACAGGAGTAGCCTCCAAACCAATCTTTATGGGCAACTGTTTGTCTCGTCGCTATAATCTCGGGTGCTTACATAATCAGTGCGACTGGACGAAAGCTGGTAAGCGTCGGTAACGCTAAACGCCATTGAATGGAGACTAGAGCGGTGCGAATAAAGTGCCGGCCGTGTATCGGAGTCGAGTCCTCGGCCGCACGGGGCGTGCGCGGTGCGCGGCGGGGCGGCGGGGCGGTGGGGCGGAGGGGGGGCGGATGGACGCGCGCCGCTCACCTGACGAGAGGTCGGTCTCCTTCATGACCTCGGTCCAGGCGGCATCCTTGAGCTCCTGGTCGCGGTACTCGATGGCGGTGGTGTTCCAGAGGCAGGGGTACTTGCGCACGGCCTCGATGAAGTGCTCCATGGCGGCGGTGGCGGCGGCGGAGCGGTGGCGCCGCGCGGCGGCCGACTGGGCGCGAGCGGAGGGCCGACTGAGCGCGGCCCGGCCGCCGCGCCGCACGCCGCCGCCGCCGCCGCCGCCGCCGCCGACACCCAGCCGCGCGCGCCCCGCCCCGCTCGCGCGGCGCCGCCACCCCGCGCGCCGCCGTTTTGCTCCCTTTATTATTGTTACGCGATTCGTATCGTCTCGAATCTGCATTCGCCGGAGCTATTCCGGCCCCAAACACGAGGCCGCGGCCGTCCGCGGCCCGCGCCGTGCCCCGTACCCACGCGCCGCACCCGCTCCGGTCCCCCATTCGCCGACTTACCTGCGCCGATGCAATCGAGTCGCAGCCGTGTAATAATCGTACTTCAATTGCCGTACGATATACAACACTATAAAAAAATATTCAACCCCCCCGTAATTGTTGTTATCATTGAAATTTCTCGAGAACACGTTTTTTTTGAACCACCGATATGGGAACTTGTAAATAAAATCGTTAAAGCTGTTATGGAAAAGAAAATGAATACATAAAAACGTGATGATAACGAATAGGTTTACCTGAAAACACTTTACCATGGAACCTCGACTGAATTGCATTTTCATTATGCGTTATGACGAAATCTTAGCGCTTTAATTTCCGACGCCCACACGCGACATTCCTCTAATAGACGATATATAATATTTATAAACACTAAGCAGCCACACCGCACAATGTACGTGTCGCTTATGATATCTTACAGCTGCAACCCGATACTTAATGAGTCTTCGACAACTGGAATGATGACTCCGTGGCGTAGTTGCCAAGGTATTCGAAGGCTTCGGCGTCGGGGGTCGTGGGTTCGATTCCCACACGGGACAACTATTTGTGTGACCCACAGATAATTGTTTCGCATCTGGGTGTTTGTCCGCGTGAAATTTATGTTTGTAAAATTCCCTTACAACACAGGATACTGTTATCCTAAAGTAAGGGCAATAACAATAGATGGCGCCAAGCATTGATTCAAATGCTAAGAAAACAATGTAGAAGAATGCGTTAAGATTTTCGTCGGTGTGGCAATCAGCCGTTTAGCTCAGTGGCTAGAGCGTCAGGCCGCGAATGCCGAAGACGTGGGTTCGATTCCCACAGCGGCGACAACCTTTTCGCACATTTTCTACATATTTTAAAGTAAGGGCAATGTTAAAAAAAAACAAAGAAAAAGAAAATTAACTTGAACTTAATAGAAGTAAACTTGGACACTATTAGATGAATCCTGTACTTTGGGTGTTCTATGAGAGCGAGCGAAAGATTAGGAGGTATTTGTATTCGCTTGCCGCTCAACCGAGGCGAACGGTGCACGCGACACCGACAAGGGGTCGGCTCGGTTCGGCTACAAACACGACGTAGACAAAAACATTACAATGTCATTATTATTCTCTTCCACCGGCCGCATTCAAGGCTAAAGGGGATTTTTTAAATTGGAATTCTGTCAACTTTAATGACACTTCCCTTTAAATGTAAGGTACAGTGTGAGTTGCAGTTAGCATTGCGACTCATGTTCTATGCAGGCAAAGAGAAATGACGCCAGCGTGACGACGCGTTCGCAGCGACGCGAAAGGCGCCATCGCCGTCGCCCACGCGGCCCGCTCCGCTCGCGCATCCGTCGCGCGGACCGACCGATCGGTGCACGATACACACCCCAAATATCCCATATCGTTTATTTTTCTGTATTCTGAATAAAAGGGATGTTTTTTCACACATTTTTTTCGCCTGTGGTAAGGCCATGCAACGCTCTTCGCTGTTGCATGAATGAGCAGGTCCACGGCCCCTCAGAATACCGGCTTTGTCAGGTCAGTGAGGCATTTGCAACGGTTATCAATTAACATCAGGTGAACCGCCAGATCACTTCCTACCTTCTCACATAAAAAAATCTGTTTCTTGTCCTACGGTTGAATTGAATCGATGAATAACAAACGAATCTTTTATTGAAATTAAAACGTAACGTTGCATTACTTGTATAGTTCTTCGCCCAAAAGACGTTCTGACAACATCAAATTATATTTTTTTTTACAGAGTTGATCAACCTTTTAAACTTACTTATGTACGTACTATATATTAGGCTATACTTTATAATTCACTCAACCCGGTTTTACGCATTTGGGTAATGCTTGGATTTTTTTTTGGTATCATTTATATAAAAATATACTAATTAAGAGCCGTGATAGTAGCTCATTTTCCAGGCGCTCACTTTTAATTTAATATCTCGAACGACCCGAGTTCGATCCCCGGTGCCGGCATGAATAAAAACAGTTAATTTTAAGTGTTGACTTATTACGTGTTCAGCGGTGAAGGAAAACACTGAAAGAAGAGAGGAAATCAGTATATTTTCGAAATAATAAAAAAATATTGCGAAGATATGTGGTGAACAATGAACTAATATCCTCTGTACAGAGCAGGCCTTTACTTTACTTATTAATCAATTTAAAATGAATTTTTAAAACATTTTTTTAAAATATAAATTCTCCTTTAGATAAAGGTGCGTAATAAAAGGGTGAACACTAATAAACTAAAAAGAATTGATAGGTAAAATTATTAATAATTATTAAATGCTATTCTTCCCAGATCCCATGCGAAACGCAAGGACAGGCCAGAACCAATCACGCCGCTCTCGTTGGCTTGGGCTGGGGCTAGTAGCAACAACACGTTCCTCGACGGCCTTGTTAATTAACGAGCGACGTGAGAAATCACTTCAATTTTTTTTCTTTCTTTCTATTTAATTATGATTATAAGTAACGCATTAAACCGATTAAATACTACACAGCTCATTCTCTCATTGAGCAAATTTACGTATTCAATAAAATTTATAGACCATGTTATATTTGGATGCATGTACCTTAGGTAGGTATTGAAATGTGCACCCTAATGAAAGAGCTATACCTACATTTACAATGTACAATGGGTTGCGCAATTCATGTCAAAAATGCATGTTAGCATGCATATTCATAAGCTCTGCAAGTTTCCCCCGGCCGGGGTTTATAAATGGGGGCCGAAGCATCCCCCCGCCCCTTCGCCGCTTGCCTGCCCGCCGTACCCCGCTTAGCAACAGTGAAAACCAACTGGCTCCGTAATCCGCCATTCCTCATAATGTTGCATCAGCGTTGGATCTCGCTATGCATCTCTCCGTGTCTACGTAAGTTTTCGGGCGGGCTATTGCTTTCAAAGGAATATTTTAACAGAGTATGTTGTGCCTGATATACATAAGTACTTTCAGGCATATATAAGTTTACACTAACTACAGCTAAGTGCCACAGATTAATGAGCCGAAGCGGTCTCCGATGGCGGCGCAGCACTGCGCACAGCTGTTTCGGATCGATCCCCGCCGCGCCCCCGGCCCCACACCGCCCCACACCGCCCCACGCTGCTGCACCTCACGGCTCACACCCGAACGATGCCATTTCATTTGAGTTATTACCCAATAGGTGCAAATACACACATCGCAGCACTAACTGCCAAAAAAACTTGCAGTGGGTTGTTTCATTCGCCACAAATTTTTATCTTTCGTGTTAAATTCTCTGTACTTACATTTTCAACGTTTTTGGGAATTGTTAGGATAGTTGGAAATAAAGCGGAGATTGTTCACTCATTGAAGTGCAATGTTAAAGGCTTATGTTTTCACCGTTTGTTCCTCAATATGTACTTGTAAATAATGGTAATGGCAGTACAATTAAATCATTTAGTGCACATTATTTTGTTATATAAAGTCACATCAAATCAAAGATTGAAAAGCTACATAATTATAAATTATAAGGTTCTCCGTAAGCCTATAATTTGCATTCCTGTTAATTTTATGTATAAAAATGGATTGCTGTTCGTTAGTCTCGCTAAAACTCGAGAACGGCGGGACCGATTTGGCTAATTTTGGTTTTAAATTATTTGTGGCAGTCCAGGGAAGGTTTAAACGATGAGAAATTATGGTAAAATTGCATGGAAAATCGAAAGAGCAACAATTTTATTTTCCCATACAAACTGCACCTGTCAACTATGTCTGTGTAACCTGTCAAACACTTTATACGTGCGTTCCGATTCCTCTGGAAATAATTTATACGGCAAAACAACGTTTGCCGAGTCAGCTAGTTATACAATAAAATTGAATTCCTATTAACAATGCCGACGAAATTTTATCTAGTAAAACTGGAGTTGCGAACATAATTACGTAACTACTCGTAGATGGTATGTAACGCTACTACGTACTCAAAGGGTAAAACGGGACCCTATTACTAAGACTCCGCTGTCTCTCTGACTATCGGTTCGTCCATCCATCCGTCCGTCCGTCCGTCCGTCGGTCTATCTGTCTGTCTGTCCGTCTGTCTGTCTGTTTGTCCGTCTGTCTGTCTATCCGTCTGTCTGCCTGTCATCAGGCTGTACAGTCTCATGAACCATGATAGTTAGACAGTTGAAACTTTCATAGATAATGTATTTCCGCCGTCATAACAACAAAAATTGAAATACAGAATAAAAAATACAACATACATGATTTTTTTGCCGTTTTTATAGATAATGGTACGGAAATTTTCGTGCGCGATTTCGACTCGCGCTTGGGCGGTTTTTTTTTTCTTCTAAAACCTTTTTGAATTGCATGCAAAAGAGTTTTATAAGAAATCATTGCTATCGATTAAAATTCTATATTTTTCTTTATCTAACATATAAAATTCTCGTGTCACGGTGTTATAAAATTTTCGTGAAATTTTGTGTGCTTATCGGCCAGGGTGGAGAATCGGACAACATCTATTTTTCATCCCCCTAATTTTTTTTATTATTTTTAATATATTATTTTTTGTTTTTATTTTTTTTTTATGATACAGCATACAAAAATATATACAACCCCAAATTTTCACCTACCTAAAATAGAAATAGAGTCTTTGCGTTTCGTCTGATGAATGAGGTAGCTTTCACATATTTCCATATATTCCAGGCGAGAACAGTTAAAACGCGTCGTATAGGACAATTTTCTAATGAAAATGAGGATTGCCTTGCAATTCAAAGAGAACACGCGTGCCAGAGAATCGACCACCGAACTTTCAACTGTAAAGCTTCAGATTTTGTTCAAAGTTTGAGGTCTTCACTGGCATGTGCATGTGAGTCGAGTACCGAACACTCGCAGCCTCTGTCTGAACAGAATACTAGAATTAAGTCCACAAGAGATAAGTATCGAGCGTTCGTAGCGTGTTATTGAACAGATTACTAGTACCTCTCAGGTACTTACACGTCAGTCGAGTATCGAGCGTTCTCACAACACAATACTAGAACCTCACAGTTACTAGAATACATATAAAGGGTGTCTAAGTAAGAGTGCACTTTTTAAACTTGGAATATTTTTTTTCATACAAGTGGCAACTCTGAAATTTGACAGCTGTCACCTCTGTTTAGGTAGAAGTAAGGAGGACGAGAGGCCATTAATCAAAGAAGAAGAAGAAGAAGTAAGGAGGACCATCTCAGTGTATTAAAAAGTGTCCGTTGAAAGGGAGCAAATTAAGGTGGCGCTATAGTAGCAAGTGGAAGAATTTTAAATAGAGTGCCACAAATTATTACAGTAGGATACTAAATTAAAAAAGGAAAGAAACATTTCCGCTAATAAAAAACAAATCACTATGCACGTTATTTCAGGTTTCAGGAGTTTCATAGGTTATTATTTACTAAATTACAGTTGACTATGTAAATAGTTGAGATTTTAAATACTGCATATTTCTTAACTACAGAAGTCAAGAGAAATATTAAATTTTTCAACCCAGCACACTTCACTCTGCTTATAACTGCTAAGTTCATATCATTTCCACTTGCTACACTAGCGCTATTTCGGTGAGAGTTCGAACAATAATTTGCTGTTTACAAGTGGACACTTTTTCGACTAATCCCCCATACAAGACGGTCCTCCTTATTCTACCCTCCATATCCGATTATTAAAAATGTAGCGCTTTTCGAAAGAACAACGCGTTATAATTGTGAAAACTCATTACAACAATGGGCAAAGTTACGCTGAAACCGCTCGCAAACATCGCCAAATTTTCAGCCGAGAAAGTGCGCCTAATGTGTAACCATTCGAAGAGAGGTCAAAAAACTTGAAGAAACTGGGTCAATTATGGATAATAAGAATCCTTTGCGTCAACGCACTGGTCGGTTTCTTGAAAACATTGCTGCTGTAAATGAAAGTGTCGTTTTGTTTTGTCTGTGAAGCGGATGAATGAGAAAAATGTACGCCTCAATAAGTGTACCCCCAGTGTACAGCAGCTACAGCAACTACTACTGATGACGTTGACGACGAAAATCTTCTAGGTGCCTAATTACTGGCAGACAAAGCAGAATCTAAATAATTTTATATAAGGTTTTATTATTTTTATAGTACATCAAATATACATAATAATAAGTTGATTTAAATTGCGCTTTATTTATCTATTAAAGGACTACTCTAAGCACAGTACCTGAAATTCGGCTGTATAAGGCTAATGATGCTGGAAAATATGGCAGCATCAGGCCCTGCATTATGCATTGTTGGCAACACTAATCCTCCGATTTTCTGACATTTCTGAGTTTCTGACAATATAATTATAATTGATGTTTCGATTATTCGATTCCGTCAAAGAGTACTTTAAACTTTTATATATTTGAAATTCTTGGATTCCGTTTTCGCGAGTGTTGGTTAATACACGTCTTTGTGGGATATACACTATTTTGACGTGTTAGGCTTTTTTAGTGGATTTTCTCTACGGCTTAAGCTGTTTCATGTTAGTTATTGGTGGTAGTAATTGCTTTCTTGTGTTGTCTCAATTGGTAAGTACGTAGAACATAGTTTAAACATCTTATTTCCCACCTTCTTCATCGCTTGTCTTGTGAGCGATGGAGAGGTTACTTCCCGATCCACCTGACCCTCCGGACAAGGAGCGGCCTTCATCTCCCTTAGATTAATCTCCTCCATTATTTACGCAAACAGGCACCAAAAGGCGCCTCTAACCGGAAGCGGACGCCGAGCCTATTAGAAAAGGAAGGAACCGAGGATGGTACAGTGGACCATCTATTCTTTAACTGTGCCAAACTAAATATCTCCCTTTATGCTGTCCTACCAACTAGTGTTCCTCGGCCCATATGCATGAAAACCTTATTAAGCATAAGAAATTATCAAATCCCCAAGCTTTTGTCTAAATTTATTTCCTATAACAAATGAAAACTATAATTTTATACCTTCACATCTTTATCCGTTTCATGTATGTGTTGTCCTGAATGTGACATCCTTTTTTTTTCAGGTAAACATGTTTAAAGCAGTAACCTCTGTTAACTAAATTTATGATTTAGGACTGTCTTTCCCCTATCTGTAATGGCTAACAACTTGACATTGGCGGAATTGTAATAACTCACAAAGCAAGTCATTATTAAAAAGAAGAAGTATTAATGTTCCATGTTAAATTGTTTGTATTGAAAAAGGGAAATAAATAAATAGAAAGTTGAATGTATATACTTTTTCATATGAATATGTAGTTTGTTGTTTCTATTGCAAATTATAATGTATAAAATTTGTGATTATGTAGCTAAGTCTTACTAGATTAGGACTAAAACTTAATCGTGATGGAAGGCAACATAGACCCTGATGGTGACCGTGGACAGTAAGTTTTAAACAACTTTTGGCTATATTTCATTGCTATTCCTTAATGTACGAAGAAAACCAAGAGCCATATTATATAAATAAAATATGAAGCATTTTCTCTGCATTCATATTATTTTTCTTTTTAAATATTTTTATTTTTGTACAATAAAATATTTTGTCCCATGATCATATGCTTGATTAAACTACAATGTGATTTTCATTCCCTAATTAATAGACAAGTATTATTGTTAAATTAGTAAATTGGTTATGAAGGACACCATAACATGCTTATATCCATAAAAAAAAAATAAAGAACAAGATGTTAAGTGATAGCTGCCACCCATAGGCATTAGCATTAGCATATTGGCAGATGCATTGGCACGTTTTAATAAAGAGGGCCCTGGCTACCTCACTCACCAGACAAAATGTGGAAGTATAACACTTCCACTTAACGCCAGTCTTTTGTAAGGTCATGGTAATTTGGTAGTAACTTGAAAGGACCTGCCCATTGACCAAAAAACTTATTATGTGGCCCTACCACACTTAAAACATTATAAAATACAACTACAATATTATAACAGACAAAAACTCAGTCTGTCTGTTGTCTGTATTATCCAATAATGCTGTAAAGTTTTGGGAACATGAGAATTATAACTACTAAATAATTGTGACAGAATTCATAAATATTGGTTTATTAACAATGTGCAGTATTCAAAATAATACAAAAAATTTTTCCATAAAAATTTTATCTTAACTATCAATATCATCTTTAGTATACATAAATAATTAAGAAAAATTTTTATGTTTAAAAGTAGCTAACAATAGTATATATAGAGTAGGCTCTAGTTATCTTTTTCCACTGATGAAATGCAAAAATATAAACACATCTACAGTTTGAATCTTTCACTAGCAGCAGTTGCTGTGTTGTTATATTTCAGTATAAATAGGTTTAAATTAATTAAAAAGGTCATTGCTGTAACAGATAAGTTATAGGGTATTTACTTGTTTTTCAGAGGGGACCCAAGTGCTGCAGAAGGAGATGGGGATAGAGCCAGATATAGGTATTTTTTAATATTTCTAAATGGTGAACTTCTGAGGTTAGTTTGTGTATTAGTAGTTGTAATTGTAAGAAGAATTATTATGTAGATTGATGGATGTGGAAGAGGTGAAGTATCTGTATAGGTTATGAATATTATATTGTACAATTCAACCACTAATTATGTTAAAATAACAGTTTTAACAATATAATTTTAACAATTAATACTATATTATTATATATGTTTAATATTCATTTATGCAATTAAAATTATCCAATGTAGCTACTGTCTGATACAAAGCATGTTTTTATAATGAACAAGACAACCTATGGATATCACCGAAATGGAATAAGTCTTAGACTGTACTGAGAAGCTGCTGATTATCTGCATTTTTTATTTATTTTTTCTGTCTGTATGCATTTTTTATTTATTTTTTCGTAATTCAAAACTGGTCACCACTTATCTGTCATCCCACCTGATGGCAAGTGGCGATGCAGCCGTTGATGGTGCAACGGCAACGTCACATATAGCCTACTATACAGCCTTAAATATGCTGTATAGAAAAATCCAGCCTAATATGCTTAAAATTCAATACAATTTATTAAAACATAAAGATGAATAAATGAAATTTTTCATAAATTTTGTTGGAATAAAAAATTTTGCATTAGTCTTCCAACATAAATTCAGTGAAGATTTACAATATCTTTTAACAAAGTTTTTGTCATCTAGAGTCAATTGGTGACTCCAAATGGAATCAAATCAATTTATATTCGAAATAAGATTTTTTTAAACCGTTTTGCGAAGTCTTATAATTCGTGAGTACCTGGAGGACCTTTGCTCGGTTTGTTTTTTTTTGGTAAATTGTGTATTTTGGAAATTACATTTATATACAAATTACTAAGTAATGAAATATGCATAATATTTTTCGATCTTTCCGACGTAATAATAAGAAAATATGAACTGGTGTTTTTCACAAAAGAAAGAACTTTAAAAAAAAATAAAAAATCGACAAAAAATAAAAGATAAAGAAAGATTTTTTCGATTCCAGATCATTGATCTGGAAAAGAAAAAAAAGTAAAAAAATATAAGTATGTAAGTGAGCATGAACCGAACCGCGGCCGTCTATTTTGGGGCCGCCCGATTGCCGACTGAGCTATTATAACATTTCTTTTGCGACGAAATTTACCGTCATATTCGAATGATATTTTTCGTTCCCTGAAAACAGGGATAAAAGGACATTTTCTGATAATGAAACCTAGCTAGATCGATTTTTCGCCCCCGAATCTAAGCACATACCATTCATGAAAATCGCTGGAGCCGTTTCCGAGGTTCCGATTATAGATATATATATAAATAAGAATAACTCCAAACTTATTAGGAATTGTAAATGTCAAATAAACAATCGTGTTGCTCTGAAAACAAAGTTTTTATTTCAAATTTTACATACACATAATTATAATTACACTTTTAGATTAAATCATACTATCCTACCTGAAAACAAAGAAACGACATTTAAAGTCTATTCTTCCAATTATCAATTCCTTCCTATACAATTTTTATTAACTAAAAATAATTATGCTCCATCACAACTCATCTGTCAATCCATATATAAGCTGCTTTCCCGACAAAGTTGACCGCCATTACTCACAGAGCCATCTATAGCGTACATGAGTATGGTCACTGACGGAAGAGCGCTGTACATATTAAAGAAATATAGTTTCTTTACATATATATATATATATATATATATATATATATATATATATATATATATATATATATATATATATATATGTGTATATGTATATATAATATATATTTATATATATTTATTTATCGTTTAAAGGATAAGATATGTCTTTTCTGCCGTGCTGGAGTATCGGAAGACCGGCGTGAAGTGGAAGTATAATACGTGCGCGTTTCGTCTGATGAGTGACGTAGCCGGAGCCCAATTTTCAAAAGGTTGTCAACGCATCGGCAACCCTCGGGTGTTGCAGATATCCATGGGTGTCGATATTCACTTAAAATCAGACGAACCGCCTGCTCGTTTGGCAACATTTTCACATAAAAAAATGCAAAAATATATTGACACGGAACCGTGAAAATCTGTATCCCCTACAGCTTCTGCAGAGTAGACTGATTCAATATCAGCCGCTCGGCACCGTAGCAGGATACCGTAAGACAAATAAACATAATATTTTGTTCTCGCCGATCGGATACGCGCGAAGAGTGTAGCGAGGTCGAATGGGCCTAGCGATGGGTCGTTGAAGGTATTTTCTTCAACTTAACGTTAACTTGTACCAAAACGAATCGCCAACATATTCAATGATTATTTTGCAAAAATTAATAAGGAAAATGTCTTCCAGCCAAATGGAAATACTGAACCAAACGGTTGCCCTGTGATTAATCCTACAGAAAACACAATGTTTCTGGCACCGGTAACCTATCAAGAAATATATAAAATAATAAGAAATCTAAAAAAATAAGAACAGCTACGGATTTGATGAACTACCGCCAGCAGTAATACGACAGTGTGTGAATTAACTTTCCCTTTAGCTATATTGATAAATCAGTCATTCGAAGAAGGTATTTTCCCAGATTTGTTAAAGAAAGGTATAATCAAACCCATCTATAAGAAAAATTGTAAATCAGACCCAAGCAATTACCGCCCCATTACTGTACTATCTACAATTTCGAAAATTTATGAGAAAGCAATGTGTGTTCGCGTATAATCGTTTTGCGAAAAATATAAAATATTTAACGATGCCCAAAATGATTTTCGTAGAAAAAGATCCACAACAGGGTCCATAAAGAACTATTTTACTAATTACCCTAACACCTTTTGTTACTTAATGGATGTGCAATAAATAAATAAATAAATAAACGTTGATTCATGTTCATCAACTGGTTGATCAACTAGTTAAATTCGTCAACTAGTTAACGTGACACATACATAAGTATGTTAAATTGCAAGCCCTTCTACTAGGGAAAACGGATGAAAGCTATCTATGCATAAATCTAACAAATCTGAATTATTTTTTTTCTTTTGTACAAAACTAATTTTTTTTCTTATCAAAATCAACCATCATACTCTGGTGTTTAAAGATTGGTACTAAAACACTGATGAAAACATTTAAATACATTTCCGCTACAAGTACTTTTTAAAGTTAAAGTGGTCAATTTGTTCGATACTTTCTCGTTGCATACATTACAAACAGCTTTTCCGCTAGAATGGTCTTTTTAGGTATGAAGCCATAACTTACTGTTAATACGTTCAATTATTTTGAATTTTGTACCCACAGTCACTAAACATAAAGTTCTGATAATATTTACGCAAAGCCGCAAAATTTTCTAAAACCTTGCGCGCAACTATTCACAAACTGTCAAACAAAAATAAAGAAAGCGAACTTAAACATGTCCTTCATAAAATTAAACAAACATTTCAACTCAACTTTGTGACGTTTTTTTCAACGTAAGGTTTTCAATTCGTTACGCTTATGTTCCGTTGACTTAAGGCGCTGTATGCAGTGAATTTTTACCTAACTATTTGGGTGGTGAAGTATGAGGAAGTGATGAAGGGGTAAGGCCGCTTAGCGGCGCGCAGCGCGCGAGTTTCGTCGCCTCGCCGCTAGCACTAGGTCATTCATTACCTAGTGTGTGTAGTGATGGGCCGTAGGGTACTATCGATAGTATCATGGAAGGCTTTCGAAAATGTACAGATGATTCCTATAATATCTTTTATAGACCATGATTGTATTTTACTTTTATATTATAATAGAAATAATAATAAACAAACAAATATAAAGTATGAGAAAGCAATCAACAATTTTAGAAAATGTTCCTGTTTATTATTATTTTTTTAATTAAGTAAAAGTGAAAAGGAATTGATGGAAAATACATCTTAAAACCAAATAAATTGATAAAGGCAAATTACTTAAGTATAACTATTACTTTTTTTTATGGTTTATATTGTGATTTTAAAGAAATGGGTCATAAAATTTCGCGTCATACACAACGGTAAACTATTGCTGTAGACCCAAGTTCAAACCACTCATCGAGTGGAGTTGTATTTTTTATATTGTTTTCGCTTTTAATTTGTTAGCCAACTAATTATTTTGTTTTTATTTTATAAAATGCCTCAATTTGGGAAATCAACAAATTATAAAAAAAAAAAATATAATAATTATTTTTCGTGTATAAATTTTTGTTTTAGGGCGAACAATTAAATAAATTAATAAACAAATAGATGACGTTAAAATTTTTTATACAAAAGTTGGTTTATTTACTGATAGATTGTTCTCAAACTGTTTCAACTTTGAACAAATACAATAATATTTCGTTGTAATTATTTATGAAAAAAAAAATCAACAATAATTAAATGGTAATTAAGAAATACTTCCAAATAAGAAAATCAACAATAAGTACAACAAAAAATTTAGGGATTTGAACCCAATCCATAAAAGAATGATGGTCCTATACACTGTATGTATAGGACTGATAGACCAATCAATCACGAGATAAGATATTGAAATTATGCTTTAAATAAATTAATTAACAACTGTTAATACATAAAAATAATTTATAAATACGAAATATGTGAAAATATATATTTTAGTTTCGTGTTTTCGAAGGTCTAATAAAATTAAAACTCTCAATAATAAATAAATACGAAACATATTTCGTAACGGTGAGCAGGCGATGAGCGGCATAGATCCATCTGGCAAGGCGCCTCAGCGCTCTCTGTTCAACGTGTGGAGTTGGAAGAGAACCGAAACAACGCCGCGCCATCGCGGTCGAATTAATTTTAATGAATTAAATTAATATTTAAAAATATCTTACTTCAATCAACAAATTAAGACAACAATCCTTTTTATTAATATATTCTACACCACCGATATTAATTTTATTAAGTTATGTTCATTTATTATATCTATTTTTTTTTATTTGAATTTCACGTTTAGAGGTAGGTTCGTGATTTTTTTCTATCGAGAAAATATATCGAGAATATGTTTTGAAAACAATGGTCCATTAGAATGTAAGATCAAGATTAAAATATATTTTTTTGCTTCTATAAAATGTATAGATTTTGTTAAAAATTTTTTGTAAAACCTATTTTTACTGAATACAGCGCCTTAACGTATCGTTGACTGCGTTTGAATTGATTCAACGACAAAATTTCCGAAACGACGTTAACGAATTCAACTAGTTGATTTCAGTGACAGTTAAAGTTAATTCGTCAACAAGAGATCAACGGTTGATTCAAGTAGTTCGTTGATTGAACGGCCGTCGCCATGGGCCGGTCGTTAGGGGAAGTGCGTGGGATGTGACGGTTGCGCGTGACGGTGCAGCGTGATGGCGCGCTGCGCGTCGCAGTCGTCGCTGGACGAGTCGTCGCAGCGGCGGGCGGGCGGCGCGGGCGGCGCGGCGGGCGCGCAGCACGCGGCCGCCCTGCTCGAGGCGCTGGCGCGGCTGCGCGGCGACGGCGCGCTCTGCGACGTGCGCCTGCTGGCGCGCCCGCACGCCGCCGCACAGCCGCAGCCCTCCGACGGCGTGGCGGCGCACCGCGCCGTGCTGGCCGCCTGCTCGCCCTACTTCCGCGCCATGTTCACGCAGTTCGACGAGCGCACCCAGCCCGCCGTCACCATACAGGTGCGCGGTGCTCCCCGCGGATCCGTCTTCATGTTCCTCCCGAACTCCGCCCTTCATCCGCGACCTTCCCTTCGTTTCAGAACGTCGAACCGCACGCCCTCGAGGCGATCGTGGAGTACATCTACGATCCGGAGTCGCTCGTCATCACCGAGGAGAACGTGCAGGTGAGCGGTCCGGGCGATGTGCCGTTGCGTGCGCGTGGGCCGTGCGCTGATGCCGGTGTGGTCTTGCGCGCAGAGCGTGCTGTCGGCGGCGTCGCTGCTGCAGGTGTGCGGCGCGCGCGCGGCCTGCTGCGGCTTCCTGGCGGCCGCGCTGGCGCCCGACAACGCGCTCGGCATCCGCGCCTTCGCCGAGCTGCACGGCTGCCAGGAGCTGCTGCTCTGCGCCGAGCGCTACCTGCACCGCCACTTCGTCGACGTGCTCGAGACCGAGGAGTTCCTCGCGCTGGCGCCGGACACGCTCGCGCAGCTGCTGGACAGCGACCGCATCATGGTCCGTCCTCTATCGGGCTCGCGTATACCTCTTAAGCGAGGCGTCGATCATTAAGAACGATCCGTCGTCTCGTCCGTTCCAGGTGCCCAACGAGGAAGTGGTGCTGGACGCGGTGATCCGGTGGATGCAGCACGAGCCCGAGGTGAGTGCGGCAGCGGGCGCGGCGAGGCGGGAGGCGGGCGAGCGGCGGGGCTGACGCGGGCGCTTTGGCAGGAGCGGCAGCGGCACCTGGGCGCGCTGCTGGAGCACGTGCGGCTGCCGCTGCTGGCGCAGGACGTGCTGGTGGCGCGCGCCGCGGCCGAGCCGCTGGCCGGCGCCGGGCTGCGCGTCAAGGACCTGGTGATCGAGGCGCTGTCCTTCCACCTGCTGCGGCCCGAGCGGCGCGCCGCCGCCGCCGCCGCGTGCGCGCGCGCCCGCCCGCGCCAGCCGCCGCGCGCGCCCAAGCTGCTGCTGGTGGTGGGCGGGCAGGCGCCCAAGGCCATCCGCGACGTGGAGGCGCTGCAGCTGGAGACGGGCCGCTGGCGGCGCGCCGCCGAGCTGCCCACGCGCCGCTGCCGCGCCGGCCTGGCCGTGGTGGCGGGCAAGCTGTACGCCGTGGGCGGCTTCAACGGCACCCTGCGCGTGCGCAGCGTGGACATCTACGACGCGGCCACCGACTCGTGGGCGCCGGGCCCGCCGCTGTGCGCGCGCCGCTCCACGCTGGGCGTGGCCGTGATCGGCGACGTGATCTACGCCGTGGGCGGGTTCGACGGCGCCTCGGGGCTCAGCTCGGCCGAGGCGATGGACGCGCGCGAGGGCGTGTGGCGGCCCGTGGCCGGCATGAGCACGCGCCGCTCGTCCGTGGGCGTGGGCGTGCTGGGCGGGCGGCTGTACGCCGTGGGCGGCTACGACGGCGCGGCGCGCCAGTGCCTGCACACGGTGGAGCGCTACGAGCCGGCGGCGGACGCGTGGCAGCCGGTGGCGGAGATGGGCGCGCGGCGCTCGGGCTGCGGCGTGGGCGTGGCAGAGGGCGCGCTCTACGCCGTGGGCGGGCACGACGGGCCGGCCGTGCGCCGCTCCGTGGAGCGCTTCCGCGAGGGCGCGGGCTGGGCGCCGGCGCCGCCCATGGCCACGGCGCGCCGCAACGCCGGCGTGGCCGCGCTCCACAGCCGCCTCTACGTCGTGGGCGGCGACGACGGCGCCGCCAACCTCGCCTCCGTCGAGGTGTGTGCGCTTCAACTTGGTCCTGGACGGTTAAGGAACGTCTCACTTAATATATAAACATAAACACTGCCTTCATGATATAACTGATTATAACTCTCGAAATTTTAAATAAAAGTAAAAATTAAAAAGGAACTCTTATAAGATCACTCTCTTGTCCGGCTGTCCATCTATCCGTCGGTCCGTGTGTCGTCACCACCGATTTTCTCAGGAAATCATCACTAATTAATCACTGACAGCCCCAGTACACTGCGACATATGCTGCAACAGTTATCAGAAGGTAGTCGATTAGTGGGTCTTACCATCGATAAATCTAAAACAAACGTAATGACAAACAGGGAAGAAATAGAGATAATAGATGGTGAAAGCATTGAATACGTGAAGGGCTGTACATACTTGAGGCTGTTAATATCATTCAGAGATTAAACGGATATGGAAATCGAAAGAAGAGTTGTAATACTTTTCCATGGCAGCTAGAAGAAAAGTCCTCAACTCGTGCGTATTATTGCTTGACATATAAAGAAGTCAAACGTGAGCTAGGGCTGATTTAGGAATCAAAAACATCTAAATTTAAATTGTTTATAGTGCTAATTTTTGCACTTAAGATTGAACATTAAAATATGTAGAAAAAGTGCGAAAAGATTGTCGCCGCTGTGGGAATCGAACCCACGTCTTCGGCATTCGCGGCCTGACGCTCTAGCCACTGACTGAGCTAAACGGCTGATTGACACACCGACGAAAATCTTAACGCATTCTTCCACATTGTTTTCTTAGCATTTGAAGCAATGTTTGGCGCCATGGTTCGATTCCCACAGCGGCGACAATCTTTTCGCACTTTTTCTACATATTTTAATGTTCAAAAACATCTTTTAAAATTGAGATCATGTCAGCGAGGAATGGAGAGAAACAAGATCGGTGTCACTGAAAAATATTGGTTAATACGATCCCGTACCAAAATAGAAGATTATAATAAGGAAAGTAAAGCAGTTGAAGTGCAGGTGGACAGGACACATGGCGAGGATAGTTAGTTAATATGGACAAGAATGATAACAGAGTTGCAACCACGCGATGGGAAACGGAAAAGGGAAGACAGGCAAAGAGATGGATCGACGACATAAGAAATGGAGGCGCTACCTGGTCTATAAAAGCTAGAGACAGAATTGAGTGGAACAGCCGGAAGAGGCCTGTGTGTCAGGACACGCCGATCGCTAAACCGGAAAGGGTAGATTGTAGTCGTGTTTAGTTGCGAACCGGGTCCGTTTCGTTCAGGTGTTCGACCCGTCGACCGAGTCGTGGACGACGCTGGCGGGCGGCATGTCGGTGGCGCGATCGTACGCCGGCGTGGCCGTGCTGGACGAGCCGCCCTGACCGGCGGCGCCGGCGCCCGCGCCCCGCCCCCACCGCCCCCACCGCCCCCACCGCCCCCACCGCCCCCGCCACCAGCACCACCGTAAGTAGTTACCTATGTGCAAACAAAACAAGGGAGGCTGTTCTAAATGTATCCATTTTTTTTTATTAAATTCTAGACATAAATAATGTTATATAAAAAACGGTAAATATTTAAAATCACTCGTAATTAATTAATTACATTCATTTGAACTTATCCCAAAAAGTGCGTGATTTATGGGCAACTCATTTTACGCGCGATCATTCATACCTACCACGCTCACAAATTCGTCTCAAAAGTATACGTATAAGAGTTTAACGGTTTTACCTTCATTCTAATATTTTAACTATTACTGAACTTAATGTTAACAACTATTATAACGACAAACAGCACTAGTGGTTGTATCACTGTCCGGGAACGCAGCTGAAACGCCAATGACCGCTGCTACATGCGACCATTTGTCCCTTGGCTCAAGTATATAACGTCATATCGGTATATAGTGTTGCGCCTAGTTACGACACATTTATGAATGACTACCGTATTGTCAACAAGTTCTGTTTTTGAGGGAATAGTTTTTTTTTGGAAAAAAAAATTGGTTTTTATTTCAACAAACGATTATACTATCGAGTCTGAACCTCCTGTGTGAATATGGGCACCTTTAGAAAAGCCACCCTGTATACTAGAAGGTATTAATTAGAAATAAAAAAAATATTACATGATACTACCCCGCAAAAATATTTTTTCATAGTATGTTATCGTAACCATAATCTTAAGAGATACGATGTTCAGGCAAGCGTCCGATCTTGTCGACGTCGATCGCCCTCCGCTGAGCAGATGTGTTAAAGTGAGAAGGGTGTGGGGTGCGTGCCGCAGCGGGCACGATGCCGCGCGCGCGGCGCGTGCTGTGCGGCGTGCTGCTGTCGGCCTCCACGGGCGCGCTGGCCGGGGCGCCCCCCGCCGCGCTGGCCGGGGCGCCCCCCGCCGCGATGGCCGGGGCGCCCCCCGCCGCGCCCGCGCTGCTGCTGCTGCGCCCCGCCGCCCCGCCGCCCCGCCCCTCCTGCTCCTTCCACCTGCTGCCCGAGAGCCAGCGGCTGCTCTTCGCGCACACGCTGCCCCCGGTACGTTATCGCAATTTTTTATTTTTATTGTCTCATATTGTAGACATTCATGGCTGGTGGTAATCACTTAACACCAGGTGAACTGCACGTTCCTTCGCCAACTGTTCGCATAAAAAAATGGCCATTCGAACTGTGCTAAAATTGAAAAATAACCTAAAGAGCTTACAGAGCCAGTTCTCAATTAGGGATAGTTACTAAGTTGTCAGTGATACATAGTAATGCTTATAGGATCGGCCATGGCTCACCTCGAGTTTACCTCATGATGACGTAACCAGCCCCTTAGTTTCAGTTGTGAACGCAATGGAACGTCTTGTGCCCCAGGTGGGGCGCGCGTGCTGCGAGGCGGACGCGCGAGAGGGCTCGAGCCCCGACTCGGGCTCCGACTCGGGCTCCGACTCGAGCGCCGAGTCGGGGCCCGAGCCCGAGCGCGAGCCCTCCGACTGGGCTCAGTGGAGGGCTCCCCCGCCCCGGCCCGAGCCCTCCGACTGAGTCCAAACGCTTCGAAACGAACTGCTGTGTGAATGATGCCGACGCGATCTTTGACATGTTACAGTTAGTTGTTTGCTCTATTTCGAATTTACCACATTCTATTTTCCCAAAGTGCGATGATACTTATGTCATCAGAAATACTGTAAGCAAGTAGTTCTAGTTATTAATGTTGCGCATTCTACGGAGTCCTATTTCCCTACGTATCATAATGTGAACGAACCCTTCACGTCAACAGTGTACTCGGTAATTAAGCTTGTTTTTTATTTTTATTTTTATCTACACTCTTGCCTCAAAAGTCTCGGAGCTTTATGAAGGCACTCTTGAGTATTCCTATACGTTTCAAACAAGAATGTGTCAGCACTCGCGCCATACTGTGACGTTATAACTGTTGAATCGAAAAAAAAAATAAGTAAGCTCAGTAAAACAGACATTTTTTAAAGAATCTAATAAATGATTCAACACATCATTACTTTCATCCCACTGCTTGTTCAGTCACCGTCTTCGTCATCGACACCATCTACAATATGGCAATCGGGTTAAATGACTAAGATGTTTCTGTCTATGCCTGTATCCATATGGAATCTCTAGGACACTAGTCCCATTTTGAAGTTGTTACCAATTGCTGGAACACAGACAGATTTGTTCATTAAAAACGCATAATGACATAAAAAAAATTTATTACAATTACGTAATTATGGCAATTACGCAAATTTTTGTACAAAAAAAAAACATATTTATGCATTTTTTTTTCTATCCATACTTTTCTAGTGATCTTTGACAGATTGAAGCCATAGATGCGCACATTCTTATTAGAAACGCATAGTATACCGCGTATTAGAATGCATTTGCGTATGTATGTATGTTATGATGGAGTTGGGATGAATAATTTTTTACTTAGCGACCTTTCAGTTGAGTCGCAGCAGGCAGTAGATGTCGCTAAAGGCTTTTCGCAACACTTCAGAGGATTTCACAATCTGCACAATGTCAATGACCCATTTTTTAGGTCTTATATTTTTATATCTACAAGGGGCGATTCAAAACTAATGTAAATAATCGATAGAAGATAATCTTAGAAAGTAATATTTATTTTTCAATATAGTCTAACAAATTAAGACTTTTAGTTCATCTTGTTACCATACCAGGATACCTTTAGAACATTGTTTTTGTCTTGCCTCTCCCAAAATGCCTTAACGGTTTCTTTCGCTATAATGTTCGCTTTTCTGCCCCGAAGTTGTTTCATGAGCCGTGAAAAGAGCCAGAAGTCACTAGGAGATAGATCTGACGAATAGGATGGGCGCCCTTCGCAACTACAATCTTGTGAACCGATGCGTTGTGTTGATGAAACAGCACTCCTCCGGCTCGCAGTTTGTTTTCTTTTTCCGCAATAGCCTCCCGCATCCTGCTTATTTTGTCTACGTAGTTAGGGCCTCATAAAGCCTGAAATAGTGGCACAAAACACCTTCCCCGGCGAACTCGACACTTTGAATTTCATCGGCGTCGGTGAATAGGGTCGCTTCCGCGTCGTCAATTGCTGATTTGGAAAGAATAAGTAAAAATTTTGATTTTGGATTCTAACCTGGATTTTCCTGGAAATGATAGATTATCATTAATTTTGAATCACCCCTCATACATTGTAATAAAGATAAATGCCTATTTTAATATCTATAGCCTATGACTAACGTTTTGTGGGTTCGACGAAAGAAATCGACAGAAGAAAAAAAGCAATAAAAGCACTTTTTGATAATTTTGTTGATGATTTGACCACAGAGCGGGAAAGGTACACCGCCTAAATCGGTGAACTCACTTTAATAATAAACACTGTCAGCGACTGGACCTGACCTCACATGCTGGTTAACTGTGTTATTATATTGTAAGAGACTATTGTAGTTGTTGATTAATTAATATATATATTAAAATGTGAAATAGCTCGATTCTAAGTTTTTTTTTAATTACTTTATAAATGTATAATTTTAGAAATTTGTAATTGAATTAAGGTGACTTGTAAAGATTCTTTTATGCCCTTGTAAACTGTACTCGCCATTGCGTTCCCCTCAGAACTGTGTGAAACATGAATATTGATGCTCTAATTGTGTATCTTTGTTTTATTTATATATATGGCCACTGAAATGTCCGGGCGCTCGCTGTTATGATAATAATACTCCAGCTGAGTTCGATTCCCGGTGCCGGCAAGAACGAAATTGTTAATTTTATGTGCTGACTTATCACGTGTTCAGCGGTGAAGGTTAAACATCATGAGGATACCTGCAAATTTTCAAAAAATGTTTCGCAGATAATTACGTGAAGCCCGCCAATCTATGCTTTGATACCCTCTGTAAAGAGGAGGCCTTTTCCCAGCAGTGGGATATGTATAGGCTGTTACTTTATTTTTTTATTGACTGGGGGTGAATAATCTGAGACGGGATAATAGACAATACGTATTGTTTCGCGAGGAGATGCATAGATGAGTATAGTAAATGCTTCAAAGTCCCCCACGAAAGTGGAGGATTTGCAAGAAGGGTAAACAACTAACGGCCATAACCGGTACTTTGCCGCATTGATGTCCGCAGTTCAACAAAGAGTCATCTTGGACGGCGGTGTACCATCGACCTGGCCTGGGAGGAGTATTACTGTGGCTTAATACCTAGAGGTGTAGGACAGGGCTACGTTGCGGGGTCACCTTGTAGTAGGTTTCCCGATTGCGGTCTGGTTGCGTTCGTGGCATACCTGAGCCGTTCTCGCCCCTGGTGAATCTTAACACTAATCGCCACGGGAGGGTTCACCTCGAATGCCGAAGAGATGCGTTCGATTCCCACAGCGGCGACAATCTTTAAATTGTCGCCGCTGTGGGAATTAATTAAAGCCGGCGTAAATTTTCTCCATATTTTAACCTTTGTTCGTTTATGTACACTTTACTTTTGCCTTTGATTTTCACTTCTAAAGGTTATTTCATATTTTTTTATCAGGAACATGTTTTGATAACAATGTCCCAAGAATATAGGTAAAGTATGCAAAATAAGTAACAGTCTGTATATATCCCACTCCGGGGCAAAGGACGCTTGTGTACTACACAGCAGTTGGGCATACAGTAAGACTCCCTGTATACTACACAGCATACAGGGAGTCTTTTTGCAAAGTGCCCAAATTTTCACAGGAGGTTCAGACTCGGTAGTATAATTGCTTATTAAGGCGCTGCAGTAAAAATAGGTTTTTCAAAAGATTTTTTAGCAAAATCTACACATTTTATAGCAGCAAAAAAAATATATGTTAATCTTGATCGTACATTCTAAGGGAACATTGTTTCCAAAACATATTCTCGATATATTTTCTCGATAGAAAAAAAATCATGAAACTACCTCTAAAAGAGAAATTCAAAACCAAAAATTAACGTAATACATGAACAAATCTTTTTCTTTTTTTTTTTTCCCTATTGCAATCTATCAATTTGCAGATATTCAGCAATATGTGTAAAATGAGAAGGGCTTGCACGATAGCAGTCCAGTGACTGCTCCGTTGATTTTATGGGAATATTTTTTTTATATTTAGGAGTTAAATTTTATTCACATTTTCGAAAAAAACTACACAAAACAACTTATTTAAAAAAAATTCAGTGCCGTGCTGCTTTGGATGACGTCAGGCCAAGGCCTATGTGTCTGGTATGAATATTTTATGTATTCTAATATATTTTTTTTTAATATTGTTTTGATTTTATTCTAAACATATTCATTTCAAATGAATTATGTTATATTTGATGTTCTTGACCATGGTTTATTTTATCAGATAATTATTTTGCCTTTTCCTATAATATAAAAAAAATCCTGATTTAAAATTTAGAAATTTTTGTTTGAATTTAATAAATTTTAGTCGGTTTTCGAATTGTTGTAGGAGTATTATTTTTGAACAGTTGGTAACACTGTATAAAGGACCATCATTCTATAGGGATTGGGTTCAAATCCCTACATTTTTCTTTGTTATATTTTTTGGTGATTTTCTTTTTGTAGGTATTTTTTTTAATTTACCATTCAATTTTTGTTGATTTTTTTTTATTTTTATAAATAATTACAACGAAATATTATTGTATTTGTTGAACGTAGAACGCAACAGTTGGAGAACAATCTATCAGATAATTAACCAAGTTTTCATTATGTAAAATTTTTAACAAGTCTTATATTGTATATTGTTTTTAATTTCACATTTAAAGGATAAGTTAAAGATATAAAGTTTAAGAAAATATGTAATAAAAAAGTCGTATTCGTAATTTCTGCCGTGGAGACTATGAAATTGCGTAATTAAACTTTAAATGAAAATAAATAATTATTCGTTTATTTATTGTTTTCTTGTAAGAAATGTCATTTGCCTTTATTAATTTATTTGACCTTAAGATGTATTTTTAATCAATTCTAATCCGTTTCCTGATAATTTAAAATAATTAATAGGAAGTTTTTCTAAAATTGTTGATTGCTTTCTCATACTTTATATTTGTTTGTTTATTATTATTTCTATAATAATATAAAAGTAAAGTACAATCATGGTCTATAAAAGATATTATAGAGATCATCTGTGTACATTTTTGAAAGTCTTCCATGATACCAACGATAGTGTCCTACGGCCCATCACTACACACGAGGTAATGAATAGTCTAGTCTAGCGGCGTGTCAACGAAACTCGCGCGCTGCGCGCCGCTAAGCGGCGTTACCCCTCCTCCGCTTCCTCATACTTCACCACCCAAATAGTTAAAAATTCACTGCATACAGCGCCTTAATTACTTACGAGTGATTTTAAATATTTATAATTTTTTGTATGTACAAAAAAAGGGTAGCGTACAAAAAAAAATTGCTAAAACAAACAACTGTTCAAGGACATGGTTTTAGAATTTATTCAGTCTCGTTATAGTCCAGGCACTTCAGCCATACGGTAAGTTCTTTTTTGCATTCCCTTGATGTCATTGGGTATATCTGTAATTTTTTATTAATTTTATTGTGAATTTAGGAAGACAAGTACAAGAATTGGTGTTTAGCAAACCGTGTGTGAACGTAATTTATCTGCGCTACTTTACCTTTATTTCTTTTAGCTACGTTATCAGAGTTGTATGTAATAGACTAATGTTGTTTTAAAACAATGTGTAGTATGTAAAGCTTTCTAACTATAAGTAAGTCTGCATTCAAATATAGACTGATTTGGGATCTCCTTTTTTTTAAATACATTACTTTTAGTAACGATCTTTGAGCACACTCAACCTCCATAAATTCCTTTAGTGCACCTCCTCATAAGGTAATTCGGTAAATTGTAATTGACTGTGCTAATGCCACATAAATTTCATTTTATAGTGATTGGTCAGCGATATGCCTCAGCTCTTTAAAAACACAAATCAGTTTTCGTAACCCACAAGATACTAACTCAATGTGATTATGCCAATTAAGTCTTTGATCTAACATAACTCCAAGATATTTAATTGATTTGACTTTATTATGGCTGGGCATGTACAGTTCGGGTTGAGGGGACAATCACATTGATGAATTTTAATTTCAAACGTTGAGTCTGGCTGATACCTATCATTGATTGAGAAACACATAAAGTTACTTTTAGAGGTGTTAGGGTGAGTAAATTAACATTTAACCATTTAGCAACTTTCATTAATCCTTGTTCAGCATGTTTCTTTACGCCGTTCCATAAACATCCTGTAAAGACTGCAGCGGTATCATCTGGTAGGAGAATATCTTAGAGTGTGGGATCATCATATTGCATCATATTTGATGAAGATGTAGAGCAAGAACAAAGTTGGTCCCAACACACTTCCCTGCGGGACGCCATAGTTTACACTAGCCGCTTTGCTCACTGTTTGGTCTAGCTTAACTCTCTGAGACCTACTGTTCAGATAGCATTTAAGTAGTTTAAAAGGAGTGCCCCTAATTCCAAAATGGTCCAAATTCTGCTCAAGGATGGGGAGGGAGACAGTATCGAAGGCCTTTTTTAAGTCCAAAAATACGGCTAGGGATTTATTTTTATTATCAATCAGCAACCTCAGACGTCAGCGCTGCCACAGCATCTTCAGTAGATCTACCGTTACGGAATCCAAATTGTGAGTTTGATAGTAGGTTAAATTTATTCAAGTAGTTTAAAAGTCTATTGTTAATAAGTTTCTCTAATATTTTGGATATCGATGGCACAACCGATATTGGTCGGTTGTTGCTTACGTCCTCTTCATCCCCACTTTGGTGAATCGGTGTTACAAGCGATTCTTTAAATAAAGATGGAAAGACTCCTGTGCTAAAACAGAGGTTGGTAAGATGGGTAATTATGGGTAGAATTTCAGAGTTCGCGAGTTTAAGGAGCCCTGTAGGTATACTGTGTCTGCCAGGAGCGCTGTTTCTTTTGCCTTTATCACAGAATGTAATACAATGACTGTTATGCAGTACCTAATATTATGATTTTTTTTACTTTCTCACTAGAGATTGTCAGGACATTTTGTAATCATCTCATTTGTTCGAAGATAATAAACGACTCACTTATATAGCAACTGTTCTCTCTGACACCCCTAAAAGGCACGCAATTACAGAAGAACGGGCCAAAAAAGAGAAAGAAGGGAAAAAGTTTTAAAAGAAAGCAAAAGCGTAGAATTGATATTAAATGTTAATTAAGTTAGTGTATTTCTATATAAGAATATATATAATTATTTTTATATAATATATCAGAATTTCTATATAATTATTTTTTTTAAATAGAAGTGGTTTTAATTGCTTTTTAGCTTCTTATGTTAGTGTTGTAAAAAATTTAAACAAATTATTCACATTTCAGGTTAAGGGGAGTATCAATTTCATTCTATGTCTACGACATACTCGTAGAATAAAATTGATATATCAATGACATGGCACTTTTAGCCTCGTTCTACTCTGTATAATAATCTAGTATTTGGGAACAACTGTTTTCTTTATGTACGTGTGTGTGTGTTTTTTTTAATAAAATGGAATTATACACTCATCCCTCGTAGTTGTATTTAATGGTTACGAAAAAGAAATAATTCGTCCGTTCCGCGGTTCCGCGGTAGAAGCAATGACAGGCTGAGCGATTGTCGATCGCGGTGCGTAAGTTGCAATTGGAGCAGAAACGGAACAACCGCTGCTCAGTGCTTTGCCTACTTGCTTAGCTGCTCACTTAGCGCCACGATTTGTAATTGTAACTGTAGTGCGCCGTCTGCGACGTGCCCGCGCCGCGGCGCATTCGCATTCGTTCGCAGTGAGCGCGCGACCGCCGCCCTCTGCGCACGCAAGCACTTCTTCCGCGCTCTTCGCCCCAGGCCCATCTGTCGAGTGCCTCCCGGCGAGTGTTACAATGCGGTTTTTTGCTTCTTGTTTGTTTAGTGCGTCCTAATTTGGGTTGTTGTTATAATGTTCCAATAGTGCTTCAGTCCTGAAATGAAGTTTTACAAACTATAATTCATCTTCAGTCTTCGAATTCATTGAAGCCGCCAAGGCTTAGCTATCAGAGCAGAGATTCATAGCTCGGTGGGGAACAATATTAAGAATAGAGCTGCGTTTACGCCGATGCGGGTTCGAGTCCCGGCGGCATGAGGAAGTTTGTACGCACTAGACCAGCGGCGCCCCATCACGCTCCTCCCGTGCCTACCAACTCGGCACGCGGCGCTAATGGACACCTCAGTAAGTAAAATATGGTCTGCCATGCCCATAGCACATCCGCATGAACAATTAAGAACGCTACCCATATGAAGAAGATTGTTACCCATGGAATACCAGCAATCTCCAATAGGAGAAACAGCGGGAAAGCATAGGGACCAAAGACTCACTAAGAAATTTGTTTAAAGAAATAAAAATATTGACTGTTGCTTCTCAGTACATACTTGCAAATATTCTGTATGTCCATAAAAATAAGAATGAATTTTCAAGCTTTAGTAATGTGCATGTTATAAATACTATAAACAAACACAAATTAATTCTACTCTCATGTAGATTGCTTAGAAAAAGTTAATAATTTATGGGAATATGTATACGTTTTTACAACAAAATCCCAGAGAACGTTCAAAATGGATCAGTTAGGTACCTCAATTATAAAAACTTGTAATGGAACGTTTGTGTGTTAAGGAATTTGAGTTTCTTTCGCCGGTTCTTCTCAGATCAGTGGCTTTTTTCCAAACCGGTAGTAGTGGTTTTTGAAAATCAATAAGTAAATGTAATGCTTCTATATTGAATAATTTGAATTTGAAACAATTCCAAATATTTCGGAATGGCATCATTATCTTCTTCATTGGTTCTAAAAGTCATTCAAGATTCTGCATGGACTTCCTGTGCTGACACCCCATACTTCTTAGTCGACTTCGCGTGTTTCTTTCTTATTCCTATTTACATTTGAAAAAGTGAATGCTAACCAAAATATTAATTGGTTACGCATGTTTACTTGCAGCTCGATAACTTATTATCTGACTCAATTTTACTGATATTTAATATTAGTGATAAATGTAAACGCTTGAATTTGTCTAGTATACCTGTAGTTTCATGACATAGTTAGTGCACATTAAAGAAGATTGAATTGAACTTTTATGCGTGTACGGAACAATACAACACAAGGTTCACCACAGTCAGTGGCAGCAAATCCTTACGCAACTGACGCACCTTGTGTTCACCGTGCACCGTTTGGTGGGATTGTTGTTGGTACTCGATAATGTTATAATTGTCAATGTTGACCATATTTAATTTATGCTCAATAATATCTTTAGTGTAATTTTTTTATGTGAGAAGGAGGCAAGCGAACTGGCGGTTCACTTATTGATTACTTATGTTTAAGTGATAACCGCTGCCCATTGACATTTGCAACCCCCTTAAATGATTTGCTGATGCGTTACCACCTTAAGTTAAATGAAGCTAAAGATATTTCTTTAATTCATCATAAGTACCTATGAATATAATTCGAATTAGAGATCTTTGAATAAAATATTACAGCTGCGAATAAATAAAAAAACAAATGAAATGTGGTCTGTACCCTAACCTAACTACTTAATAACTGCTACTACAGTGAAAAATTGGGGCAACACAAAGACAAACATATTATTGTGCTATATGAAGAATTCTTGTCGAATTCGTAGCGCACATACCGTTATTAATTATTAGATTTCCAGGCGCGTCGACGCGACGTAGTCATTTGACATCGGGGCAGCCTTACTAACACCGTGCCTCACTTTCCAATTTCTGAAACATCTCATTTGTCTTAATATAGTCCGTGAATCTGAATGTGCTTTATTAAATTCACATTGTAGATAAAATCGTAATACATTTTAATCGCAAAAATATATTTTGCGATTTAAATGACTTTTCATTAAATTTAATGATTCTAACACCAGTTTTATGTGTATGTTCGCCGCTCTTGACGAAAAATAGATGAGTGGAGTAAAAAAGTGGAAACATACATAATCACAATTATTATATTGTTAGAAATAGAAACGATAACTGATTTTTTGAAAGGGTTTATGGACAACAGACGTTGGATTTTTTTTGCTGGACGAGCCACTGTTGGCCTTAGGGGCCTTCACAGTTCCGACGGACTTGAGGTGGCCTGGCGCTCGGGGCGCCTAGCCGTAACTTCGGCGTATTATTATTACGCGTTATGGTGACTAAGCCCGAGAGCTCCCGAGGGAGCCTCGGCTCGGGCCGTCACGCTATTATTATCGCCGTTTTTTTTTTGGCGGCCTACCGCCAAACTCTTAGGGCGCTTTGGCGGACGCTCCATACAGTGACTAGGCTCAAGGGTGCCCAAGAGGGCTGGACCTCGGCTCGATCGGTAGCTATTGTCTGACTGAGGAAATTTCTAGATCTAACATTACTACCAGTTCGGAAAGCGTTGGCGCTGGGAGAAGAAGTGGTGGAAGAAACTCCAGCAATGCCTCTATCATTAACTGGGGAGAACCTGCCAGGTACGTGGCGGAACCTAATATATGTTTGCCGCGCCGGCGAGCGCGGCAAACATATATGAGTGCGGTGTGTGTTGGTGTGCTTGCGTAGTTTTTTAATCCTTTCGATGGCTATAGTCGTCTCATCGTCAGGGCATCAAATCGACATGTAGGTCGATATTGCGCATGGATCAGGGTGCTCCCGTAGCTCTGCGTAAGAATCGATTCTGAATGACCTGAAGCCTGTGTATTTGCTTCGGAGCAATGTGCGCGAAAACCGCACTCGGTTTTAGAACACGGTGAGCGCTACTCGTTTTATAGCCCATTGCAATGTTGACATTCGATGTTTCGATTTATTTCTAACAATATTTTAAAATTATAGTACAGCGTGTCGTTACCATCGCGACAATAAATGAACACACGTCTAAAGCTACTTGCCAATAATCATAAAAAAAAATATAACGTTAAACAAAATCCATAATTAAAAAAAATATTTTTCAAACAAACTAATTAAGTAAAAAAGAAACAAACTTTGTAACATCCTATACAACTCGCGCCACAGCGTCGCATTACAAGCCTCTCCTTCTAACAGTATGTTTTGTCTCTTTTAAATTAATTCAACCCATTCATATGCTTTGTGACCCTTACAAATGAACTTTACGTTACAGTTTTATACGTAAGGGTGTTCTAAAATTGTTTGTTTTGGAAAATTTAATAACTCGGCAAATATTGATGTTTGAAGAATGTAAATGTTTTATACAATTTTAAAAATTTATCCTGTATATGTGTGTTCCTTTATTGTCGCGGTAGTAACGACACGCTGTATAACATGTTTCTAGTTGGTAATATTAACCCAGCACCTTCCGTTTGACCGTACCAACGTGGAGCTGCTGGAACCGTTGGTTACCAGGTCTTTTCAAATCAATGGCTTCGGCCTTACTAACAGATGTTTTATCTCTTTGCATTTTTTTATCGCCGTATCTTGGGGAGTGTTCTGAGGAGTAGTTCGGATTTTGTCCATCGTACAACGATAAAAAATGCCGTTCAAATGCGAGTCGAACTCGTTCGCCGAGTGTACCGTACCTACCCATTTTACCGCCATAATAAAATTGGTAAATAATGTAACGTGTGATTTCATCACTTTGTCGAAATGGTCGTTTTTCTAAAGACTAGGCTGCATGTCATATGAACCTTTGCCTGTTCAAAAGGACGAATGTAAAAGTTAACTTCATTTGGTCGTACTTGTCATTTGAGATTGCCGCCGGTTCGAATTGACATTGGATAAATTAGTTTTTGTGGATCCATTATCTTCGACTGGTAAGTAGTTGCTTGGTTTTGTTCATGCCAGTGGTTGTTTTGTTTACGTATTTCGTTTTCTTATCAATTCGCTTTTTTACAGTGCATGGCTAGAGGTTGAAATCAGAACACGTTCCTGGTCGTATTATTTGTGATTGCTGTCTGGGAAACTCTGTGCTGGATTTGTTATCCCTCGTGGTAAGATCCTTTGTTATTTTCACTGGTTTCCTACTAAAATTGTAAAAGACTTGCATTGTGAATTTATTTAGAAATCTCACATGAAGGTAGGTTGAGAATTTATTGTCTCGTGTTTCTAAGTATGGTTTTTCGAATATCACAGGTGGATGCTGAAGGCATAAGTGGCTGGCAAGCTGGTCTGAGCTGCTTCTCTATTAAATATTGTTTTTTACCTCCAGTTGGTAAGTTTTTCACATCTTATAATTGTAGGTGGATTCAAATCCCTGCCTTTGTTAGTTCTACAATTTAGTGTTTGTTGGCAGGAGGTCTCCTATATAACCCCAACAGTTTGGCTGTATACACTACACTTGGCCTGGTTTTCTCTGCTGGTTCTGAGCTCAACGCTGACCTGTGCACACAGGGCAGGTGTCTCTGCGGTGACATAGATTTAAAATAACTACCTGATTGAACTTTATTTTTTAAATTGAATTGCATAACTTTCATAATCTCAAATTAATTTAATTATTTAACCTTTTATGGTCGCACAAGGTAATGTGTAGGCCCTATCTACTCACGACTCCCTGAGATACTTAATTGTATTTATTACAACAGTCTGTTCCTAACAGACAAGGCGCCCAACTCATTATTATTGTTATATTTTGAAAATATATTGTATCTGAGCTAGTCCAGGGATTGTAACATTAAACTGAAGGGATAAATACAACTTCTTAACCACTAATATATCTTTTATTAAATCTCCCATCATTAACTACACCATCCTAATAAAAACGTTACAATAATCAACTCCGATTTTATCTGGAACGGTTGTTGGACCTAGCAAGTTGATATTTTTACCAGATACTGAGGTCTATCAAGTAAAATCAAGTTCTTGAGTCAACACGATAAAAAGATATGGGCAAATTTAGATTTTCACCAAATCTCGTAAAAACCAAAATTTATCTTCATTTAATTTTTTTTTATTTTTCGGAATTTTCTCCTTACTTGTGCTGTATGATCTTGCTTTTAAGCAAAATTGACAATTCTAAGTCAACTGGAAGTACCCTATAGGTTTTGGGCAGAAGAATGTTTGAATCAAGCAAGCAGCAGGTCCTAAAAACCTAGCCAATACCTATGACTAATAACATGATTTACATGCTGTACATGACAGGGGAAAGAAGGATTATTAAATTACATAATATCAAAGGCAAATTTACGGTGGTAGGGCCACGCAGCAGCCTCGGCTGTTGCACGAATGGGCAGGCCCGTCCGGGTAAGTACCACGACCTCACAGAAGACCAGCGTAAAGTGGAAGTATGACAAATACTTTCGCGTTTCGTCTGGTGAGCGAGGTAGCCGGAGCCCAATTATCAAAAGGTTGTCAACGCATCTGTAACCCTCTGGTGTGGCAGATGTCCATGGGCGGCGGTATTCACTTAACATCAGGTGAACCGTCTGCTAGTTTGACAACTTTTCGCATAAAAAAAAATTAAAAAAAGAACTTTACGTCCTCTCCTACGAGCCCATCGAAACTGACACCCTAGCACAAGGCACACCTGCATCCTTGGGCGGCACTCGGCATTGCCAGTCAACGAATAGTTGACGCCATAGTCGCCTAGAATACATTTTTAAATGCAGGCATGTCCACATTCGTGACTCTGCTTACATACAGATACAGAATATTTGAAAGTGCAATAGCGGCGACGCACGGCAGGACACCTTTGGCACTGGTGCGAGGTGAAAGCGCCGTCCGAAGACGTGTGCAGGTGCAAGAAAACGATGCCCCTGGCCTCACGGCGAAGTCGCCTTAGAATCGAGGCAATTTAAGAATAATTCGATAATGATTGGAGCAGGCCCCATACGTGTTGGTGCAATAACCAAAGCGACGGCAGCTTTAAAGAGCGGGACAAACTGCGTTGGCTTTACCTAATTTTTAATGTTTTTTTAAATTACAAAGAACTGTTTAAATTAAATAATTGGAGAATAAATCACTTAGATGGCTTGTTTTTAAATTATTTAAAAAAAACATATTTGAGTCTGCCTGGAGCGCACATTGAAACAGTTACGACGCGGATTAGCGCTCCACTTGTGCCTAATTGTAAAGCAAACATTTTCGTCTTCAGTAACCGTGACTAACGCAAAAATGACGTGATGCGTAGGATTAGGTACGGGAAGATCTAACACGGTAATCATAACGAAGTCATATAAATCATCATCATCATCATTTCAGTCTGTTTGAACCCACTGCTGAACGAAGACTTGCACAGATCAACAAAAACAAGTGGGGGGTCGTTCCACACTACGATGGCCAGTACCCGGCTGCCACTCGAGAACCCTTCTTCAGCAACGGTTATCGGTTCTATGAGCTATACTATTCTGAGCTATGTCGGTTACCTTTGTTCTACTGCGAATGTCTTCGTTGCTAATTCTTGTTACTATCAAAGTGCTTTAAGTTGCTCGCTGAGCGACTGTGAGCTTCCTCATACGGCCAGCAGTGAAGGACCACATCCTTCCGTACACCATCACTGGCAACACATCTTAGTTGAAACATTTGTCTTCAAATATTGAGGTATAGTCGAAGAGAAGATTTGCCGAAGTTTCCCTAACGCTGTCCATCCCAGTTGGATTCGCCGATTGACCTCTGGCCTTATTATAATTATTTAATTGGCCTTCGTTTAATTTATAATTTATAACTACAAAATTTTCCGAAAACTGTAAAATAAAAATTTGCGGGTATAAAGCTTACAAGTGTAAGAAATGAAACTAAAGTATATTTATATTTCAAATCCCTAAGAATTTTATCAGTTATTACATTAATAATAAAGACTAGATGTTAGGAAGTAAGAACTTCTAGGTTTTTTTAGGTAATTTTTTTCATTACAAAATAAAAATTAAAAAAACAGTGAGATCAATCATCTGTAGATGCCAAAATCTAGAGAGAGACTGCAAACAAACAACAATTGACTTCAAGCACCCCGCGTTTTACTACAATAAAGAAAATTTTTTTGTTGATCACGCTACATATTCATAATTTAAATTTAGTGAAAAATATTTTCTGTTTTAGTTTGGTTACCTACAAAAGCGTGTTTTTTAGTTTTGTTTAAACTATTATTTATTTATTATAATGTTGCCTTCATGTCATAGAGACAATTAATTATTTAAACACCTAAACATATGTAGACTGTAAAAAGACATCAACGAGTGAAATGACAAAATCGTTTTTGTACTATTCATATCCGTTAAAACTTACACGGAATGTTGTCCCATGTTTTTCTAATTTTATTGTTAACATCTGTTGCTAGAACAACAACAAAGGTCTAAATTATACTGTAGTACTTTAACAATTTTTTGTAATTGTTACTTTTAAATGAAAAATTGTTAAAATGACCTGAAAAACCTTGATATCTAGCTGGATTCTGACATCTATCGCATATATTTTAAACAATCATAATAATGGGTATTATGATTGTTTAGAATTGAGGCTTAAAATCTTACTCCCATGCGCACAGTGCACCTATGTATGATAAAGATACGAATCAATGGTCTAAACTGTAAATAATTTGTGAGAGTTTAGTTGACAAATGATTCGAATTTAATATGGTTAAAATAATTCGATACCCAATAAAGTATAAGTACAGGCACTTCACTTATATTTAGAATTGTCATAAATTAACCAGACCTTATGAATAGAAGCTGTTTCAGGCATATGTGTATTTTATTCTAAAAATGTGTCCGGGAAACTTTTTAATCGTGTGGTCGATTTTTTTTTCTCAAGAGTTATATAATATATATAGCAGTACTAATAAGAGTTATATAACTAAGCAATCAACGGCAAAAACGTTGTCAAACCAGAGCACATCCGTAATCATCCGTTATTACCATTTGAAATGCAAGTAGGTAAATAAACGTAAGCTCCTCTTCTTGAAAGTTTTTCGCATTATTATAATTAAATTAAACGAGATTTAATCATCGTTTTAGTTTTGAAAGCAGCTCATTGGGCTGCACTGCCGTTAGGTAGCCACTGACCGCGGTTTGGCACAAATATATATTCCATGTAAGTATTTTGCAGACATTTAGAATTTCACATTTCCAACACGAGGAGAAACCAATTACGAATTGAACTCATTGTGTTCGTCTTATGCTTAGCGTCCTCTTCTGTAGTTTGAATTGTAATTATGATCAAATATCGTAAGATATTAACAGTACTTAAATTGTTTTCAATTCCTCTTTTGTAAATTTTCTTTTATTTTTCTTTTATTTTGAGGTAATGGACTGAATATTTGTTGTAGCAAATGCTGCTTAAAGAGTATTTGGCGTGCAACACCAATGTTTAAATTAGGTACAAATTACGCCATGTCGTGGTGTTAGCGTCATGTGTACCCACTTCCACGCGTGATCCTAGACCTAGGTCCGAGCCCACACCCATTGCTCGCATCTTCGTCGCATCTATTTTATATTTACACCTACTAGAAGACCCTTTGGTTTTATAAGCGGGCATTATAACTTGACTTTGACTTTTTTGTTTTTCGCTTATCTATTTAAATGGTCAATTTTCATGCTGTGGCGATTCAATGATTTGAACTTATATATTATGTTTGATAACGGAAATGGTAGGTACATACTCGGAAATACTTCAAGGTTCTGGAAATACATCTTAAAGGTTTCTCAACCTTTTGCTTCTACGATGAGACGACACGGCGCTTTGTACGTTATAGTTACCACTCGATAGTTCATGAATCATGAATGCAAAACTTAAATAAGAACACTACAATGAAACAATAAATAACTTACAAAACGATGTAGTACATAATCGCAACCCGCCTGCCGGATATTTATCCAAGCGATGACTCAATGTATCGATTATGCGATTTTTTCGCGCGCACTTAGGAGAGCTGGTTGCGCGCGGAATATGTAATGAGAACAGTGATCAGGTCACAGGCACAATTATATATTTAACAGCTAACATTTTTAAGAAATAGAACTCCCCGGTCTCAGTGCAGTCCGGTCTCATGAATGGGTGTGTTCCGCAGAGGGGGTCGGCGGCGGCGGGCCGAGGCGCGACGACCACCGCTCCACGCTCTCAAGGTCGGTCGCTGGCGAATTGGCGATACGCGCCTTTATGTTGCCTCTGCTCTCCAACAACAACAGACAATCGCATAATTATGTACACTAACGCGACATGTATGCTGTCGATGCCACTTGCGATGCCGCCATATTTGTAAGCGATCATTATGAAATTACATGGTCACCGATGGTTGCCAATGTGTGATCATCTTCATACTATCCTACTATCGCAAAAATATTGTATTTTAATGTGATCGATCTATCAATGATATAAATGTGAATATAAAAGTAGAATAACCAAAATGACTAAAGTTACACGAAATAAGTAGGCAATAAATATATCTTGAGCATTTCTTTACTTTTTCAATAAAATACTATATTTTTAAAGTTATACTTCTTTTGGAGCGTTTGAGAAAAATTATGAGAGTGACACATGAAAGCCACATCGACTACATGGTTACCATGGAAACCAATAAAAGCTTTTGTCAATAATTTCAAGTTAAATAATTACACGCTTATCAAGAAAGATTAAATGCAAATTTGTATCGTGTCCCTTTAGGGTTTCGTACCCAAAGGGTAAAACGGGACCCTATTACTAAGATTCCGCTGCTGTCTGTCCGTCTGTCACCAGGCTGTAATCTCTTGAACCGTGATAGTTAGACTGTGGAAATTTTTACAGATGATACTAAAAAACAAAATGAAAAACAGAAGTGGGGCTCCCATACAACAGACATGACTTTTTTTGCCGTTTTTGTAGATAATGGTACCGAGTGCGAGTCAGTTCTGACTCGCACTTGGCCTTTTACACAAAGGTAGAGTACTGTCGCACGGGATTACGTGTTTAGGTATTTTGTTACGCTAAAGAAGTATTACTTTTGGTTGAAAAACACTATAATCAGCCAAAGAAATATTGGCAACCCTAGTCACTATCCTGCCAATTTCCCTGAGTTCATTTATGAATAGGGCCAATAAAGAAGAACAAAGATAGATTGCTCACTACACCTCTGTGTAGTTATGACTTTCAGTTTTTATCCCACACTAGTTCTCTTTGCAGCCCGAGTTCGGATTAAATCTTGCGAAAATGTTTCTGCGCATTACTGCTTTGGCGCTAGATAGGTTTGTGTTTCGCATTCGCAAGGCGACCGCTCGCCCCAAAGCGACGACACGCGTCGCCGTCCGCCGGAGGAGAGCGCTGCTTCCTAGTGCGTGACGGTGCAATGCACCATTACAATTATAATACATACATACATAACACTGTAATGTAATGTTTACTGAATTCTTTACATATTACCTACTTATAAATAAAAAATATATGATTTTTTCTCAGTCATGAAGTGCCTCCTGATACCATCTTATACACAACCATAATCTTAGTATAAATAAATGTTTTTTTCATAATAAACAAACTCAGGTCATACTGATAGTTTTTAATTATTTAAATAAAATATAGGATATGTTTTTTTATAATATATTTATTGTCATTTATTACCTACAAAGTTATTCATACTAGATAAAACAATTGTACCTGTACCACCACACGTACCCTGGTTGTGTTACTAAATATACCTAGTAGGAAACTTCTAGTCATAGCTCTCAGGACACATGGTACTGAAATAAAGTATTGCACCTAATTGTGAAACTTGTGGAATGATAGAAGATATCAATTATAGATATTTTAGCGGCTACTTCTCATGGCGCGGTCCTGAATTTGGTCTCTTGCGCGCAAAGAATTTTCATTAAATAAATAATCTACCTAAAAGCAAAGCTCCTAAAAGGCGGAATGTGATTCCGAAAACTCAGAGTTGGTAAAAATGCCTGAGGCACCTGCCATTGCGTGTTCAGTGAAAATGGAAGTAAATTCGCGTTAATTATATTTGCGCGCGCGTTTGCTATACTCTCTCCTATTACAAGAATAACTCTAGTATTACTAAGTAATAATCATAACCGCTTTTAACACTTACACAAACATTCTTTATGGTTCGTTTTATCCGATAGGTTATAGGTAGTTGTAATAAAATAGTAGCTATATCAGTAATAGTTCATACCTAATTAAGACAAAAGATAGACAAAATGATTTAACCAAAACAGTTTAAGATCAAAGTACCATAATTAAAATTGTCATTCATCATAACTCATCAATTATGAGGTGAAATTTGGTGCGAAAGTTATAGACGTTTCTACAGGAATCGGAATCTTAACTAAATTTTATTTCAAATAGTAAATAAATTTTATTTCAAATAATTATAGTAAAGTCTTTACTTTACTATACTAAAACCCACACAGTGGGACTTGTATAGGCTGTCACTGCGGATTGGCGGACGGCACATATTTTCGAAATATATATATTTTTTTGTTATTATTTCGAAAATATGCAGGTTTCCTCACGATGTTTTCCTTCACCGCGGAGCACGAGATAAGTCAGCACTTAAAGTTAAAAACTTCATTGGTGCCGGCACCGGGGATCGAACTCAGGTTGCTCGAGTATATTGAATTAAAGGCGAGCGCCCGGACACTATAGTTATGCGATACGAAAACCATTTTCCCCAATTTGAACGTAGCTGCTTTTTTGCATTTGAAGTCCTTTATGAAGTTCAAAAGTATTTAAAGCAATTGCTTCGTGCAACTGCTTTAAATACATAGCTTACGGCCCATACTTATTTCACGCGAATATTAAATGATTTTTATTATTATTTTTATTTATGTAACAAGGTGGCAAGCGAGCTGGCGGTTCACCTGTTGTTAAGTGTTAGCCGCTGCCCATGGACATTTGCAACTCCCGAAGTCTGAAGGGTTGCAGAGGCGCCGCTTCGACCGGGTTCCCGCCTCCCACGGCGATGCCACGAGGAACCCACACTGGGCCGGCATTTGGTGTGAGCAGGTTCATTGAGCCCACTTTGGATGCGAGCGAGGAGAGTGCGAGGAAGACTTGGAGGGTAGTAGAGGTGTAGCCACTCTCCTCGTTCTCTGCCACTAAGGTGAAGTCGCGGAAGAGGAGGAGTGTCAGTATTGCGTTTCGGGTTGCGGGGGAGAGGGGGAGTGTATTGCGATACGCCGTTCTCCTTACCCTCCGCGGCCGAAACGTGGTGAGCGGCGGAGCCACAAACCAGGTGGACCGCCGCTTGGGCCTGGGAGGCTTGCTGCTTATTAGCACTGGATCTCCTCTCCCATGGCTTCTGGTTAGCGAACTCAGGGGAGTTCATACATCAGAAGCATAGGGAGGCGTGCCTCTCCTGGAGGAAAGGTGAGTTGCTCGCCGAGAAGGGGCTGCTAAGGCTAAGGCTAAGTGCTGGCCACTGGCAAGGTTGCGGATGTGTGCGAAAGCGTTCCCGTATTCCTGCCGAGGATCGCCTGTGTTCAACATCGTGGGGGTTTAGGTCGGTGCAAGTCCGAAACAACCTGTCCTTGCCCCTGCGAGGGCGGGTATGCGTAGGCATTTCCCCTACGCTAAAGAAAGAAGGTTGCAGGTGCGTTGCCACCTTTTAATAAATTGGGCCCTGGCTACCTCACTCATCAGACGAAACGCAGAATAATAACATGGCTACCGTCAATTATTTTTTACTTCGATCTACGCAAAAAGAGCTTATAGCTTGTTTTGGTATTTTGAGGTCTAGCAGTGTTGGTGTGTATGTGTCATAAGAAACCCGACCCAAAACCGGACCATAAGCTCTTCACTACTAATTGGGAATTCTTCTAACTGGTTGTCAGTATGGCAATCGAGGCGTGGATTGTGCGGGTCCCCCCTGGTGGCTTGTGGGCCGAAGAAGCGCCCTCACACTTACTGGGTTAGTGGGCGCTCATCCTCGATTCATGTCACGATGCATTGATCCAGCGACGTATGCCTCGCGTCGTGACTTTGCATGTCGACACGTGAACAAATAAGAAGCGATGAGTTCGTGACCGACGCAATAGGAGCGGTGACTGTTGCGCAATGAGCTCAGTGGTCGCTACTCAGCGTACTTTCCGACCTTCACCACCAATGCCAACAATTATTACATGCCTAGTTATTAGAGGTCTCCCGCCGCTGCACTGCGCTCAATTACAGGGATTGTTTATTTACTTCATTTAGTCCCAACCAGGCTGTGATGATATATTGCTATTGTTGGCCAATATCTACTGTTATACTACATCAATTTTTACACCCGTAAGAACAGCCAACTCCCAACCAGGCTGGCCAAATTAGGTGGCTTAGTTATAGTGAGGTGAACTTCAGTGAGTAACGCCATCATGTGATGCGGTAAAGGCAAACGGCTCTTGTTCCGACAGGGGCAGCGCTGCGGAGGGCGCCGCCATGGCCCTCTGGGAGGACCCGGACTTCCCTGCCGCCCCGCGCTCCCTCGGCCTCCGCCGTCCGCCCCAGGACCTGCACTGGCTGCGCCCCCATGTGAGTGAACTCACCGCCGGCGTGCCCATAACTGCTTCCCTCGCACTCCCTTTATTGCATCTATGCCTCATATGAAATCTGTGATACTGTGTCAATTTTGCGTTCGAGCTGTACGGCTCCGGTGAATCTTAATTATGATTTATGATTGCGTTATCAACTAGTACGCAATAGTACGTTACGGTTAACGATTATCTCGCCACCTGTGTACGCGGCGCAGTTGCGCAAACAGAGTCGTCGCCTCGTCGGGCGCAGGAATGTGCGGACGTGGTCGCGTAACGCGTTACGGCCATGAGTCCTCTGCTCCTGGCGCGTCGTCCGCTCCGCTCCGAAGGACCTATTGCTCGGAGGCGCCATGTCTAGCAAATCCGCAGGGATCCACGAATGGCGTTCGCATGTTGCATGTTGCATGTGCGTACAAGTGTATGTGGGGAATTGATGTGTAAGAAGAGCCTCCACCGCCCGAGACCGGAGGTCGTTTCGCTTCACTTGTTTAGTTGAGGACTCACTGTCTACCGTAAATTAATCTATCGTCAACCTATAGTTATGACGACGCAAGGATATTTATTTTATGGCGAATATGTTCTGTGCAATTTTGCGTCATTCGGTTAATTACGTGCCAAGAGCATTCGACACGCAGCGGCGAGATGCGAAGGTGAGCGGTGGGAAGGAACGAAAGGCAACATAGTTTTATTGTCTTCGTATTGTTCTTTTGTTAAGTATTCAAGCGTGTGTGTTTGTGTGAACGTGCACCGAAGGAAACTGTACACGCAGAAATACTGTTGTTCACAACATGTGCCTATGGGTGGGGCGGTCGATTCGGTTCCCGACGCAAGATAAACTTCGTTTGCTTCAACTCCATAGGTAGATGTTAGATCAGAAATGTTAAAAAGACAGTTATAGCTACCAGATGATTCCTTGTGCAATTTAATAAATAATTGGTATATTATAAATTGATAATTAACGGGACGCCAATATATTCAAACATTACTTTATCAAACGGGCTGGCAAATAGACTATTGCAGAGGATATACAGAGGATATACGGAAGTTTCTCAGTCTTTTCTTACACACACTATAAATCAATAGCTGTAAGCATAAAAAAAAGATGTATACTAATAGTAGTTTCACATTTTTAATGTTTAATTTAGAAGAAATTAACATGTTTTAGGCAACAGTGCAGTCTTTCTGTCTGTTAGTAGAGCTTTAAAGGAAACGATCATATAATTAACCAACAGCGCGGTTGTCAAACTGGAGCAGGTTGTAGTTTTGTTGTTAATGTGCTGTTCTCCGGTCACCGACACAGTGCGTGCCAATGGCGTGGGAACTGTGCCGGCCTCTCCATTCATAGATGATGCATTCCCGTTTACGCTATAACAACAAATATTAAAAAACAAAATAAAAAATATTTAATTGGGGCTCCCATACGACAGACATGATTTTCTGCCGTTTTTATAGAAAACTGCGTGCGCGAGTCTGAATCGCACCCGGCCGGTTTTGTTAATTTTAGTTGCCAACGTTTCGAAGCTCTTTCACTTTTCAGCGTTCATGGTCTCGGGACAGACTTAAAGGCGATGGGGGTCTGAATGTCATTGTTAGTCCGGGATTCCGCCAGATTTTAAAATATTATATTTTATGTAATATTTTAAAAACTAACGGTGGCATTGATTGAAATATATGTATATTGCTCATAGTAATTATAAAAGATTATTGAATAGCACAACATGTCATCATTACAAGCAATATACAAATCAGAGGTAGATATGACATTAGCATATAGTAACGAAACTGAGGCACTCAAATTACGCCAATTGGTGTAATTAGATTGCACTTCCTTAGACTGCTTTCTCCTTCCGTATCATAAGTCATATTCTATATCATCTGTCATATTCACTTATATGTATAAGTGAATATGACAGATGATTATATAGAATATGACTTATGATACGGAATATATCATATATGTCATATAACGTAAAGTGTAACAATTTTTAAACGCCACAGCGTATGGCATCATCTATATTATTAAACATCACTGATTACGAGACGTAAAACTTTACAAACAAAGCTTAAACGATAACTTTAAAACTTAGGTACACACACTAAAGCAAAGTACCCTATTGCCCATATTGTAAACAGATATCTATGACAGAGATATATGTCTGTTTAATCAAAATTTTCATTAAATAAGGCAAGACAAAAATTACTTTTAGATTTTAGAGCCTACGTATTCCGGATTCACCACCAGACACTTTAACCACTATGCTAAACGCTCGACTGCCGCAGTGGCGAAAAAACTTTTCGTTTTTATAAAAAACTAATATTTCATCTTATATGCAGAGATTAGCCCTATAAAAACTAATTAAACTTTGTACTTTTAGACTTACTTAGCCTAAAAACGTTGTTTTTGTAAATATGCCATTTATTTTTTTTTGTAATTTGTGAATATGTGTGCCATTTTCGAAATTGGATGCCTTTCCCCTTCGTGTAGTAATTTTTTCAGAGAGCACAAATAAAAACTAATTTTTCCTGGAAATCGGTAAACTTAGAAGCTTAGTGACGTTTCGGTAACTGGCTCTTCCTCGCTTCCGGCCTTACGCACAGGAGCTGAGCGCGCGGCCGCGGTTCCTCGGCGACAGCGTTCTGGAGGCGCCCCCGCCCTCGCCCCACGCCGCCCACGCCGCCCACGCCGCCCACGCCGCCCACGCCCCCCACGCCCCCCACGCCCCTCACGCTCCCCACGCCACAGGCGACGCAGACGCCAACAGCGACGCCCACTCCGACCACGACACTGACGACCAGATCGCCGCCAGGTATGCCACAGTCGCCCCTCGATATGCTCTCCACAGGAACCCTTCCAACAAAACGGATCGACTGCTCAGCCTCACCATTAATGTTCAGACAATTTTAATACATTTTTAAAATTGATGCATTTAATACATACTAAACATGAGTGACCTGAATTACTTTTTATATTTACTTTTACAATTATAAAGTCAAAGTCAATTATTTTCACCTGACGTTGAGGGGTTACTGGGGTGTTTCCAACATTGGTCTCCTACCGACGAAGCGCGCAGTTATTATTCTTCCATTTTATGCTGGTCTTCTGTGACGCCATGGTACTTCCTTGTGTGCTGGCGAGTCTGCCAGCAACGCCCCTTGCGTGACTATGTAACAAATTCATATTGAAACACAAAAAAGTGATACTGGATATGGCGTTACTGGGACAAATTTGTACAAGGCATGACATTTTAATGACATTTTATTACTGCGCCTGAGCTAATATTATCATTTTATACAAATGAGGAAGGAAAGGAAAAGCTGGCAAGAGAAATGACGGTTCACCTGATTTTAAGTGATAACCGTCACCCTTGGATATTAGCAACACCTGTAGGGTTGCATATGCGTTTCTACTTTATAATAAAGTGGGCCCCGGCTACAAAAAAACCGGTTAGGTGCGAGTGAAACCCGTATGACGCGGGTTCTGTAACTACGTGGGACGGTTCAGACGTCTATATATTTTGATATGGTAATTTATTAAATGACCATAGGAGCATAATATCTTTTCATCATACCACTTTTTGTGTATGACCCTCATATCTTTTTAACATGTTGATTCAGGACCTTGATTTTTATAGGTACACCTAATAGCAACTCAATATCTGGTATAAACTTCAACTTCTTAGGTCTACCCGTTTCTAAGAAAATCGGTGGTGAGGGTTCCTTTGTTACCTTTTAAGGTACGGAACCCTAAAAGTATAACACTTCCACTTCACGTCGGTCTTCTGTGATGTCATGATTCTTCACCAGACGAACCTGCCCATTCTTAAAACAATGAACAGCCTAGCCTGGCCCTACCACGGTGAACCACCACATGCTTCGTATAACCGTAAAATCGCTTGATAGAGTCGTAAGCAAATCCATTAAAACAAACAAAGAACATACTTAGTATTTTGTTTTGTTACTCATAAAATGTAATAAATAAATATGATTAGTATGAATAATATATATACAGCAACAAGTTGTGAGTGTTCCTATGGTTTACCGGTGCGTAGGTGGAGCGTGGAGGTGGGCGAGGTGGGCGACGCCGCGCTGTGCTGCGCAGCGGCCGCGCTGGCGCTCACGCCGCGCCTGCTGGCCAGGGTCGCCCCGCCGCACTCCTTCCGCCGCGGCTACACCGGCGCCTTCAGGTCGAGCCACGCTCTACCCCACTTTTTATTACAAAGCGGCACAATTTAGCTCAAAGACGATACATAGCGGAATATAACTTTGAGTATAGATGAGAGTTACTTAAAGTGGTTACGTGAAGTGCGGCCCGCTGAAGGTTCCAGTTCTGGGTGTTCGGGCAGTGGCGGGAGGTGGCGGTGGACGACCGGCTGCCCGTGCGGGGCGCGCGCCTCCTCTGCAGCCGCGGCGCGCTGCCGCACGACTACACGCTGCCGCTGCTCGAGAAGGCGTACGCCAAGTGAGTGGCGGAGAAGGCGCGCGAATGGAGGGCTCAGGCTGGCGGCAGCAAGGCTAAGGGCGGGCGCGGCCGCTGCGTTGCAGGCTGTACGGGTCGTACGCGGCGCTGCGCGGCGGCACGTGCGCGCGCGCCCTGCAGGACCTCTCGGGCGGCGTGGTGCAGAGCTTCGCGCCGCCTCGCCAGCCGCCCGCGCTGCTGCACCGGGTGCTCGACTCGGCCGTGCCGCGCTCCACGCTGCTGGTCGCCACCGCCGCCGCCCACCCGGTGCGTATTATTTTATCAATTGTGACCGCATTTGCTGTAGGGGAACCCCATAAATATTTTTTATTTTATTCTATTGTTTAGTATTTGTTATTGTAGCGGCAACAGAAGTACATCATCTTTGAAAATTTCAACTCCATCGTGGTTTATAGGATACAGCCTTGTGACGGACCGACAAACAGACAGACAGACAGCGAAGTCTTAGGCTCGAAGTAATAGGGTCCCGGTTTACCCTGTAGGTGAAGACCAAGCACTCTCTGATCTGCGTGCCGTGCCATTTTGCAGCATTTCTTCAAACTCCCTCTTTGGGATTTCTAGGCGAACAGGATCTAGGCGACGAGGGCGACTGGAGACGGGTGGACCGGGGGTAGTACGTATATGGTGAACGGTGTTGTGCTTAGGAATACCTGGTTTACCAGCAGGGCGCGTAATTTCCGGGAATTCCTTGAGTAGGCGATAATAACCAGTGTTATCGATCATGGTACGGACTGAGGAGATTTCTCGGAATGCTTAACTTTTATCACCGCTTTATTCCCTCAGCAGCTGCTACGCAGGCGCCGCTCAAGAGTCTTTTAGCAGGTCCTAAAACGAGAGGATCGCCGCCCATTGAGCTATCTTCGGAGGTATTGAATGCATTTAACCAATGTAAGCAAAGCCATTCAGATGCAGCACTCCTTGCACACCAAGATCCGCGAGCTTAGTTGGCTATCCAGACGGACGCCTCACATCGCGCCACCCGTACGTCATTGATCATATGATTCCTGGGGCGCATTTGAACCTGCGAGTCCACTTGCGTACTCGCTACAACCCTTTGGGTACGGAACCCTTAAAACGCGTCTTAATGAACGTTACAGGAAAAGGGAGGCTGTGGGCGTCGCTCGCGCAACGGACTCATCCCCGAGCAGGCGTACTGCGTGACGGGGCTGGCGAGGGTACGCGGCGGGGCGGAGGCGGGGGCGGAGGCGAGGGCGGGGGCGGAGGAGTGGGCGGGCGCGTTGGTGCGGCTGCGGGCGCCGAGCGGGCGCGGCGAGTGGCGCGGCGCGTGGGCGCGCGGCGGGCCGCAGTGGCGCGCCCTGCCGCCCAAAGACCGCGACCTCCTGGCCGCCACCACGCCCCACCCGGCGCACTTCTGGTGAGTGCGCTCTTCTTTGGGCTTCGGCCTCGGACACTGATCCATTTATTCCGTCATTCTTTGCGGATTAAGTTTCATCGTTTAAAAGTCGCGCCTTCGCGCCTGGTATAGATGTGACCGCCTCGTAGGATGCCATTCGGCGAGTTTGCTCGCGCGTTCGACCGGTTGGAGCTGGTGCACGTCGGGCCCGACGAGTGGGTGCGCGAACCGGCGCTGCGCGGGCGGCGTCCGTGGCGCGCCGTGGTGGCGCGGCGCCGCTGGCGCGCCGGCTACAACGCGGGCGGGCCGCCGGGGTGCCGCACGGCCGCCGCCAACCCGCAGTTCCGCGTGCTAGTGCCGCCGCCGGCCGCCGCGCACCTGGTGCTGGCCGTGGCGCAGCACTACGAGCCGTCGGCGCCGCGCCGCCCTCGGGGCGTCGGCTTCGCGCTCTTCGAGCTGCCGCCCGCCGCCGCCGCGCGCCGCGCCGCCCTCGCCGCCGACGAGGACGCCTTCGACCACTACGTCGGTGACCTCCCGATAGACTCGAGAGCCCATCTCGCCGGCGGCGGCACTCATGGCGACGTCCGTGCGCAGAGGCCGCTGGAGGCGGCGCACGCGGGCCGCGCGCGCGAGGTGGCCGCCTTCGTGCTGCTGGCGCCCGGCCACTACCTGCTGGTGCCGCACGCGCGCCGCGCCCACGCCGAGGGCGCCTTCCTGCTGCGCGTGCTGTGCGACCGGCGCGCCGACGTCTGGTGCGCCCGCCCCCTTCGGCCCCGGCGCCGTGACGACGCCCCCGATCTCATAGTCCGCTTCGTTCGCAGGGAAGTCAACGATGACAACGTCGTTATCCGAGATTTCAACACGGAAAACGAGGAAGACGCAGATCCTTTACCGGTACTTCGCTGCTAAAATGCGATCGCTTTAACTTCGATCCGGACGATTTTATTCCGCTGACCGATCTCTCGGTGTTGCAGCCCCAGGTTCGAGGGGCTATAGCCAAGGCGGTCAAGAAGCAGGGCTCCGACGAGGTATGCGACTTGATGTTTCGTCAATCGAACGGTCGCGCAAATAGCGAGCGAGGGTGCGCGGCGCAGGTGGACGCGTGGGCGCTGCGCGCGGTGGCGCGTCGCTGCGGCGGCGCCTCGCTGGAGCTGTGCCGCGCGCTGGTGGCGCTGCGCGACGCGGGCGTGGGCGGGCGCGTGCCGGCCGCCGAGGTGCCGGCGCTGCTGCGGCTGCTGGCGCTGTGGCGCGCCGCCGTGCGCCGCCACCTGCCGCGCTGCGCCGCGCGCCTGCCCTCCTACCGGCTGCGCGCGCTGCTGTGGGCGGCCGGCGTCTGCGCCAGCAACAAGGTGCTCGAGTGCATCGTGCTGCGCTTTGCGCGCCGCGCCGCGCTCTCCGCCGAGGCCTGCCTCTTGGCGCTCGCCCGCCTGCATCTCGCCCACGGTGCGCCCATCACCCATCACCCATCACCCATCACCCATCACCCATCACCCATCACCGATCCTCCGATCCGTGCATTTGGAAACTATCGTTTGACATTTGACAAATGAAATCTCTTCTCGTGTTCCAGAGCGATACCGCAGCCTCGACGCAAAGCTGAAGTCGAATCCTCTTTCCCTGGAAGAAGTAAATAAATATAAATATTTTAGACATATTCTTCTGGACATTAATAGTTTTACACAATGCAACATTTTTCCAACCCGCAACACTTTGGAGCGAGAAATTGTTTCACTTTCTATTATGCTGCACTTTTTTTTATGCCCTCTTTTGTTCTCATTGTTTTTACTTATTCTTTTTGCTAAAATTCGACCTATTCCACCTCACATAATTGCTTTTCTTTTTCAGGTTATTCTAATGACGATCTACTCATGAAAATTCGCACAATTACTTGGATTATGGTTTGCGTTGATTGTGTTGAACGCGTACTTGTTTTAGTTTACAATCACTCAATCATACAATTTTAATATGATCCGGCGACAATAGTGCGATACTGACTTCTGATTGACGTTTAAGTAGTTATAAGTGCGAACGGCAACGGAGGGTGTGCCCTAGCGACGCAACCAAAGAGGGGGCTCCGAGTTAGGTTAAGTTCATGTTATAATTTAATACGTTTTATGTTATTTATAAAGTTTATATCGTTTTTATAAAAACTATAAGGTGAACAACAAATCTCAAGTCCCTTAAAAAAATCCCTTAAATATATCTATATCTAAGTAATCTCGATTCAAAGTACCTAATCTAAATGTCAAGTAATAAATTTTATAAAAGCAACCCTAGTTATATCTATATCATTGACAGTCACAAGTTTAAAGTGCTCTTTATAACACGCTCACTGATATCGAACTGGTACAGTTCGCAAAAACTACTCAATGGATTTTAATGAAACTTAAAAATAATATCGTTTATACCTCAGAATTACACATAGGCTATAATTTATAAAGATATTGTGCGAATTGTCCAAAATATAACGTCAAGTGCATCATACGGGATGTATATGGGCAAAGAACGCCGTCGTCGCCGTTCAGTGGGCATAGTAGAGCGTATCGTGTTGCTTTTCGTGCCTAATACGCTCCTAGCACGGTCATGGTATGATACGGTGTAGTCGGGACCTTTAACCTTAAAATAGTAAACCTTTTAGTAAAATAGTAAATTATTTTTGAAAGAAAGGTATAAATAAAAAACATTAGTCCCTTTTTAAAATGTTTATTATTTTTATGGATCCGTACCCAAAGGGTGAAACGGGACTCTATTACTAAGATTCCTCTGTCTGTTTGTCTTTCCATCTGTCACCAAGCTGTATCTCATGACCCGTGAGTGAACTAATTAGACAGTTGAAATTTTCACAGATGGTCTATTTCTGTAGCGGCTATAACAACTAATACGACAGAACAATAAAAACAGAATGAAAAAAATATTTTAGTGGGGCTCCCATACAACAGACATGATTTTTGTCGGTTTTATAGATAATGGTAGGGAACCGCCGCCGACTCGCACTTGGCCGGTTTTATAAAATTTACCTAAGCGTATCTGTCAAGGTTTATTTTTTCGCCTCCTTTTTGGTCTCTTTGATTGTGATTTGCAAGACAGCACTGTGGTAGGGCCACGCAACAGTGTTCGCTTTTGCCAAAAGGGCAGGTCCGTCCGGGGTCCGTTCTGCTTTTCGTTTGGTGAGTGAGGCAACCGGAGCCAACTTTTTTAAAAGGTGTTGCAAATGTCCGTAGGCGGCGGTTAATACTTAACATCAAGTGAACCGTCAGCTCGCTTGTCATGTTATTAAAAAAGAAAACGCTATGCCTCGACGATGTTTGACACTCAATCACACAATGATATGAATGTCAATCACAAATTGACAGGAATTGTAATGTTAAGTTACTAATGTTTTAAAAAACAACGATTTTTATAAGGATTATGTGTTCAGTTTTGGTTTTCTTGCCGTGGAGATGTGAAAGCAGCGTAAACAGAGTCTTGAGTATCAGCTAGTAACACATATAGCCAACATTATAAGAAGACGACCCGAATGGCGTAGTCGGTAGTGTACCTGCCTTTTGCTTCAGAGGGTGTGGGTTCGGTTCTCACTACTGGAAAAATATTGTGTGATGAGCATAGTGTTTTTCTAGTGTCTGGGTGTTTATATATGTATAATGTGTATTTATTTACAAAAGAAAAGTATGTTTAAGTATGTCTATCAGTTTTCTAGTACCCATAGTACAAGCATTGCTTAGTTTTGGACTAGAGAACGTTGTGTCAAAAGAATGTGTCCTAAAATATTTTAAATATTTTTTTTTAAATATAATTTAAAAAGTCTTGGAGATGTTGCAAACCAGTAACTATTATTATAAGCCTTACGTAAACTGACTTAATTACAGAATGAAGAATTTTACAACTGATTACATGATTGAACTTAACTATTATGCCTTAGAACAAATTTTGGACACTATGAAATTAACACACGCATGTACATATAAACACACACGCACATAAGCACTTGTGTGCGCCTTTTTATTAGATACCTTTTAATTTAAGATCGTACTTAACATAGCATCTTTCAGTAAAATGTTGAATATGTATGTAAAATTGTGGAAGGCACTGACTTCTGTAACACACGATAACCTAGCACTGGAGTCAGAGTTCAACTATATTGTATCAATAACGCAAAAGGGTTATCAGAGTTATTACGTTATGGCGTCAGTTATTGTCATCCTAAGTCGATGCCCCAGCTATCCTTACTTCCTTAATATCCTTACTTCCTTACTATATTTAATATAATATATAATAATATTATAAAGGCGAAAGTTTGTACGAATGGATGGATGTTTGTTACTCTTTAAAACATAGGCTATAATTTTTAAAGATATTGTGTGTATTGTCCAAAGTATACATACAAGTATATATTGTGTACTATAAGTGTCAAGTAATTGCGAAAAAATTCTAGCATCTGTGAGCTATTCTGGTGTGCGCTGCAAAAACCGTTAGAGTTACACGTATATAAAATATAATGGGAACGTTGACTATTTAAGATAACATACCCATTATATAAAATATAATGGGTATGTTATCTTAAATAGTCCTACAATAAAGCCCAGGACAGTATATGTCTATCGTTTATGTGTAAGCCATTATCGCCAAATATAGTGAACCATAAATGCCATAACATCTGGTAATTTATTTCTAACTAGCTGCTGCCCGCGACTACGTCTGCGTAGAATACGCTGAAGGCGTAACATTTAGACAGAAAAATAGATAAACAAAAAAATATGTATATAAATTATAGCCTATGTTTTATTCTGATGTATAAGCTATGATCTTATTCTGATGTATTATAAAGTTTCAGTACAATAACTAGTATTTGTGTGAAAGAGTAACAAAAAGCCATCTATAGGTACATACAAACTTTCGCCTTTATAATATTAAGTAAGGATGCAGATGCATATTTGGTAGTAACAAATTGAACAAACTCAAACGGAAGATATGAGAGTATAAAGATTCAAGCAGTGCGGCCGCAACCTGTGTTATCACAAAAGTCAACTACTGGATCAATTTTGTCAGTGTTTTCGAAAGTAAATGAAGATTACTTCTGTGCAATATTAAAGCTTTGTTTCATTGCGATCGGTTCTCTCAAATAGAAGATATGCGAGTACTCACAAACCACAAGATCGATTTGTATGGGGTTTTAAAATTGGTTTTATTTCAATAAGTTTACTCAAACAGAAGTTACAATCTACTGGATCAGTATGAACAGTTTTTATTTTTTTCAATTGAAATAGCTCGAAATAAAAAAAAATTACCTTCTATACAAAATGTGCTATCAGCGATAAAATTTAACTACGATTACTAGAATTTTTAGTCACCACATTTTACATAGTATAAAAAAAAGTCGTCCTGCTGTCTGTCTGTTCCTATGTATGCTTAGATCTTTAAAACTACGCAACGGATCTTGATGCAGTTTTTACTAGATAGAGTGATTCAAGAGGAAGGTTTATACATATGTTTAAATCAATCATTTTAATAAAGACTAGCGACCCGCCCCGGCTTCACACGGGTGCAATGTATTATACATAATTATAAACCTTCCTCTTGAATCACTCTATCTAGTTAAAAAAAACCGCATCAAGATCTGTTGCGTAGTTTTAAAGATCTAAGCATATATAGGGACAGACAGACAGCGAGACGACTTTGTTTTATACTATGTAGTGATACTGCTTTTTTAGATTTTTTTAAACAAATCAATTTTCTTAAAAAAATCTTATTTATTATTGTTACAAGAGGAAGGTTCAAATGTATAATACATTGCACCCGTGTGAAGCCTGGGGGATCGCTAGTTATATTATAAATAAACTGTATGAACCTTTAACATTTATTTATCTAGTATTTACAAGATTAAAACTTATCTAAAGTTAAATATTATCTAATAAACCTAATCCACGAGTTATTTCCACATTATAATATGGCATTCTACTTTGGGGAAACGCAGCCGATATAAATACTATCTTCGTCCTAGTCTAAAATAAAGAAAATTAAAACGAACAAAATTATTAACAACGACTATACCGTATCCTCGGCACATATACGGAAAGATAATGAAAATTATGAAACGTATCATAACGGTCAAAAAGGTTCCCTTAATTTTGATTATGGAAGCTATCTACAGTCTGTTAAATATAGGTTGATACGCGGGACATCTAGGATATATTACGTATCAAACAAACATAGACTTCATAAATCACTAAAGAAGTTGAAGCTATTTTAAACTGCAAACGGCCTAAAAATATTAATGAATTAAAATCTGTTTTTGGTCTCATTAATTATTATAGGTGCTTCATTCCTAATACTTCTAGTGATCTTAATCCTTTAAATTGTCTTCTAAAAAAAGATGTCAACTGGAATTGGGGAGAGGAGCAAGAGTAGTCATTTAACGCTATTAAAAATGAAAAAGCATCCGAAAGAGTGCTCGCACATTATAATTCCGAGCTGACAACAATGATCACAGCGGACGCGGGACCCGAGGGTTTGGGTGCCGTATTATCACAAGTACACACCAACGGCAAGGAGTGTGTAGTAGGCTATGCGTCACGATCGCTTTCAAAGGCTGAGTGTAACTACGCACAAATTAAAAAAAAATCTGCTGCCATTGTTTTCGCGGTTAAAAATTTCATCATTTCCTGTATGGTAGGACGACGCCGTTCATATTGTTTACCATAAACCGCTTATAAGTATTTTCGGCGACAATCAAATGATACTATGTCCATTATTGTGTAATTAAAGATGTAATGAGTAGATTCGGTTTAATGAAAATATTAGTAACGGACAATGCAAGAAATTTTTGTTCTAATGAATTCGAGGAGTTTTGCTTCATTAACGGAATAAAACATATAACCAGCCCACCTTATCAGGCAGGCAGAAAGTAGTGTAAAAACGATAAAAAAAAAGGTATAAAAATTATCTTGTCTGAGAAAAATTATCAAGCCTTTGTCAAGGCTAGTCTTGTCTATAGCAAAATCAATAATCTTTTATTTAGCTACCGTAACTCAACTCATTTGACAACCGGTTTTTCACCTGCTCAGCTTATGTTCGATCGGCCGTTACGCTGTCGTTTCGATCTGTTGCGAGGTACAGAAAGTTTACTCGACGATCATAGATTACGCAAGCTCAACTTCCATGTTGTCTTCACAGTATCATAAAAATGTTTCTTCCAAACAGATCTCACCAACTAGTAACTACGGTGTACGCAAAATCGAATTAGAAAAGGGAGTTCAAGTTTTTGTCAAACATTACTTTTATAATGGTAATAAGTAATATTAAGTGAAATAAAATAAAAAGAGTAAGTCGGTTCCTAGCTCAATTTGCGTAGTACTTTTTAAGTATAGTGTTATGTTTGAATAGTGTGGGTAAACTGAGAATAATCAGTGTGTGTCGTCCTTTTATTAAACGAGCATTGAAGTCAACGTATATTTCGTATTTTATTGTATTGGAATACTCCAAATACAACAATTAGTGTAACCAATTAAATAGTTAAATTGATTTTGTTAAAGTGAAAACAAATTACAATTTATAAATTACTCTACGCAGCGGTGCTCGCTGCCCTGGATTTGTTCTACACTTTTCCGTGTAGAATAATATAAAACGGTATGTACCACGTGAACGTTTTCCGTTACGTTTTAATGTATCCATATCATCCATCCATGCATATCAGCTTAGTAGTCTGTGAATGTATCGGACACTGGAACACATGCCTAGTCAGCTGTTACTGACAATGACGATTGACGTTCTCGTATGTCAATAAATTGTCATTGTCATTATATTATCTTTATTCGTTATTGAAGTGAGTGACATTGACAATTGACAGTAACTGCGCAGGAGTTGCTCGCTCTTGTCTTGTACCTACTCTTGTATAGCGATTCGCTAATTAGCGAGTCGAGTAATGAATGACAGAAGCCATATTTCGCTATTCTCATTGTTTAAATGATGTGATTTATTAGTCCACATAAGTTATTTTCTATGTATACACCAAAGCTTTAAATTAAACGTATCATTATGAGAGTATTCGGCGTATTTGTGTCTTTTTTGTTAAGCTGTACAGTGTCGTCTTCGGTGTCTCTCGGAGAATATGGCGAAATTAAAATATTCCAGTCACCGGCTACTTATAGTGTGGAAAGTATGGTCCTGTTGAATGATGCCGCCAGAAAGGACAAGGAGGTCGGCTATAAAGTAACTGCTAGTTTGGACGTGCAGGCCGTATGGGGCGTTGACACCGACTTCCTTTTAAAATTTGTAGTAAGTGACCGGCGTTTTTTGTACCTTAATTTTTGAATAAATTCAATATTTTTACAGGTGAATAAACGGAATATTAAGTACTTGTACAATTTAACATTCGTCTATTTCATTTTCTGAAATATCAATAGAATCTGTTGAGAATAATTAACCTTAAAATGTTTGAATATTTATTTTAAGGTTTTCTAAAAGATTTTTGAAGATAATTTTCCTTATTTACTTTGTAAGTTTAAAGTGGCTTATAATAACTTTGACACTTTTAGCTACATTCTCCAAAACTACTTGCCAAAGGAAAACTTGTGAATGCAGATTATCTCCCTATCAAATCTTTTTGGGATGGCTATTATAATAGTATATTTTATGCACATTGGAAGAATGGCCTCATTGAAGAAGCATATTTGAACCTGGAAGATATCCCTGATGTATTGAATTACCAAAAATCTCTGATAAGTTTGTTTCAGGTATATTTTCTGCAATTTTAGTAATATTCTCTTTTACCTTATAAATGTTAATTCAATTTATATTTCTATTTATAGCTTCAAGTAATTGATGGCGAGCACAATGAGACAGATGTATCGGGAGTATGTGACATTTTCTATGATTCAATTTCAATGAGAGTCATTAGAAAAACTAAGGTACTTAATATTGATAATATTTTAGAAATTAAAAATGTTAGGAGACCCGTGATTTACATATTTATGGCATATTTTTAGAGACGGTGCCATGTTCCTGAGGAAGAAAATGAAGGTTCCTCTAGCGAGATAGTGTCATCTAAGAGACTCACACGCTACACCTTCAGTGAAACGTTGGATGTGCTAGAAGAAATACATGGTGAAGAAGTACATACTGCAGGTTATCAAAACATGGATGCTGCTATAAAAGCTCGTGTTTGGCTACGATTGAAACATGAGGGCACCCCTTCCACAACAACCACTGTCTACACAAAACTTGATTCTGCACTTGCAGAACTACCAGCTAACTTCAAGCAAGTTTCTCTACCAATGACATTGCCCAATGAGCCGTTAAATGATGAAGTTGTAAGTATTTAACTCACAGGTATTCAAGTATTTTAATTTTTTACTTAGGCTGTATGATGTCCAAGTATGCTTTTGTCTATTCCGATGTATATGTAGTTTTTTTTTTTTCATTTGAATTATGCCAGCTCCAAAGATGTAAGTGCAGGATAATGTTATAAAGAGACCTAATTTTGAAGACCATTTCATTTACTATCTCTTTTACAAATAAACATCCCTCCTCTTGGTTTTATTTCATTCTTTTGTAATAAACATGTTTTATGAAACTGTACTGATTTGTATTTAAGTCAAAAAATTTATTTAAATGTTAAAATATTTCATATAATGCATGATTATTGTTTGATACAGCACATTTTTATCAAAAGTGTTAAGCATTGATGACAAAACTTCCTTTAGGCCATGGAACATTGAGTTGGAAGTTTGCAGATAAGTGGCACTTATCAATGCCCCCAGATAGCCTTTGTTTAAATTAACTTTAGTAAACAATTTCCAATATTGTAATGCTTTTAGTTTAATGAGTTTTAGATTAGCATAAGAAATTTGAGATAAGGGAGAACAAAAATGTTATTAATATATTATGAGCAGTCATAGTGAGTTTCTTATGAAACTTATAATCACCATCATCATGATCTTATAATCACACCATAGATGGTTATATATTTCTATGTAATATATATGTATACGTGTGGAGGTAGTAAGTTTGTTTTAATTTTAAATATTAAGGTTAAGTAATATTAAAATAGTTTAATTAAAGTCCACAAAATGTTATAATGTTAATGTTAGGTTAAGTATAATGTTTATAGTCGGTAATGTTCAGTGCACCGGGCCGACACGCGAGTTAGTGGTTCACTGTCCTTATATCACGAATTGGTGGCGTCGTATGGGTACACACATTCATGTACATATAGTGTTCGGTTTCTTAGCACAAACAATATGTATGCAAGTACTTAACTAAGTTTCTCTATGAAGAAAGTATATACTTCAAGTATTGGAAAATAGTGATAGCATATTTATTTTAAAGTATTGAGTTGATAGATATTATCGCATCCGGACTATTTGTGAGCATAAACGGCTGTTCTCGCCACCCGATGTTCTAACCAATGCACTTTCAGTGATAAGGTTTTAAGTTATTAAATGTTTAAAGGGAATTTTTACAGTGGTAAATAGTATGGCTTCTTGGTTTTTGTCATATTAATTTTACAACAAGATTATTCTATTTTTTTTTTTTTAGAAATTTAAATTGTTTATAGTGCTAATCTTTGCACTTAAGATTGAACATTAAAATATGTAGAAAAAGTGCGAAAAGAATGTCGCCGCTGTGGGAATCGAACCCACGTCTTCGGCATTCGCGGCCTGACGCTCTAGCCACTGAGCTAAACGGCTGATTACCACACCGACGAAAATCTTAACGCATTTTTCTACATTGTTTTCTTAGCATTTGAAGCAATGCTTGGCGCCATCTATTGTTATATCCTTTCCAGCATACAAACAACTTCGAATATCGTTTTACAACGATAATTCGAACGAGAGATGTCGCCATTGCTTTTTTTTTTTTTTTTTAGAAATTAAATTGTTTATAGTGCTAATCTTTGCACTTAAGATTGAACATTAAAATATGTAGAAAAAGTGCGAAAAGAATGTCGCCGCTGTGGGAATCGAACCCACGTCTTCGGCATTCGCGGCCTGACGCTCTAGCCACTGAGCTAAACGGCTGATTACCATCTCTCGTTCGAATTATCGTTGTAAAACGATATTCGAAGTTGTTTGTATGCTGGAAAGGATATAACAATAGATGGCGCCAAACATTGCTTCAAATGCTAAGAAAACAATGTAGAAGAATGCGTTAAGATTTTCGTCGGTATGGTAATTAGCCGTTTAGCTCAGTGGCTAGAGCGTCAGGCCGCGAATGCCGAAGACGTGGGTTCGATTCCCACAGCGGCGACATTCTTTTCGCACTTTTTCTACATATTTTAAGATTATTCTATGTTTTTAGGGTACATACACAAATCTGATTTGTATCAACAGTCAGGTTCATTTAGTGTTTTTATTTTTAATTTTTATTTGTTGTTTGTACTAATGGAATCAACGATTTGCAACAATTTAACTAATAGTATACTGCGCCTAGCGACAAGCGGTAGGGAGTTGCGTCAGTCCAAATAATATTTGAAAGAAAGAAAGGAAGAAGAAATGTTTATTCACGGTCTAAGTACAATGGATACGTACAAAACTTAAAAAATAATGTAACTATACGGTAAATAAAATAATATTGGAAAAACTTAATATAAGTGTAAACATAACAATAAAAAAAAATAAAAAGTGAAAGTCTGCATTTTGGTTAGCTTAATAATTTTCTTTTAAAATAGTAATTTAATTATTTA